GGGCTGGGGAGTTCGGGTTGAAGGAAGACCCAAACATGCCCCAAGCGGCGGATGGTCGCGCGCGTCGATCCGTAGTAGGGCATGGTGACGCCATGGCCAGCAGAAGGAAGATTCCGAGGATTAATGGTGGTTTGGGCTCAGCGGGGTGTGTTGGGTTTGGGGCATTAAATGGTTTAGGGGTCAGGATTTGAAGTTGTGTAATACGTGCATGGGTTTACAGGTTTATGCTTGCCATGGGGTTTTCAGGGCGAATTTCGGAGTACTGTAAAGAGAGTCTGCCGCTGTAAGTTGGAACCCGCAACATCTAAATGGCTTGATTGAAGGAGAGGTCTGAAACGGTACAAATAATGACTTACAATCTTCATATGCAGTATAATGCAGTCCCTCATGTTCTGTAGATTCCTGTACGAAGGAGGTTTAAATGCTAGAATGGTTGGGGCCTTTCATGTGGTTGGTAGCCCCCCCCCCCCACGTCTGTATTCTTCGACTTCCAGCCAGAGGTAAGAAGCGGTCCGGTCCGTCAGGCAGTACAGACGCAGGGGCACAAGAACCAAACGGTTTAGGGTGCGGGGCTTCGTCTTTCAAGCCAAACCTAGCACCCGCATCCAAGATCTCTAAATCAAATCCTGAAGCCTGAGCTAGTGTCCAGGGTATGCAGGTTAAGAGTTTACGGCTTAAGCACTCTGTTTAGCATCTCCGGCATTCACAAGTCACAAGTGGACGACAAAGTCAACACCGATCCGTGTTTAGGATTCAGACTTAACTAGGGTGTCCCGATGCAATACGACTAGTGGGCTGTGACCTTTTAGGGTTGCGCGGCTTAGGGATGTGGCGGGGCAGGCTCGGATAAGATCGCCCACAAATTTGAGGGGTTCGCGAAGCATGCTCGACCCTCGGATCAGCTTTACAGGATTCTACGCAGGCCTAATCCCTGATAGCTTTAGAACCGAATGCCCTATGCCCGAAACCGTGTGAAGGTTTCCTGGGCTCATGCAGCCTGTTTACTTCTAAGGACTAGCGGACGCACGAGAGCATAATTAAGGGGCTTCGGGTTTTGGCACTTCAAACTATGCTGTGAGACGTGGTTGAGGCCCAGGGCGGCGAAAACTATGGAACCCAAATGCCGCAAAGCCCTTGGTCCCTCAACCGCTGTATTGCATGTTCAAACATACAAAATCCTCAAACAGCAACCCTAAACCCTATAGACCCTGAACCCCACACCGCAATCTCTGACCCCCTAGCACCCTAAACCATTGAGCCACAAGTCTTAAGACCACATGCACTGCAGCCCTACACCCTACAACGTATTTGGTTCTGGATATACGTATTCCAAGTAGGTGATTGAAGTCCCTAGATCCCTAAAGCCTACACCCTAGATCCGCCTTGAAGGCCTTCAGCATACAGGCCAAAATCACTAACCACCAAAGCCTTAGATAGTACGACAAAATTCCGAGCAACATCTGATTAACCCGTTGAGGCCCCTATTGAAGCCTATAAAGAGCAGCTTTCTTATAAGAATCCAAGTAAAGCCCTATACGGCCTATACATACACTCTACAAGCCTTGAAACACCACACCCGGACCCTGAGACGCGATCCGAAACCTCGGCCCGCGCGGCAGAGGCCCGGAGCGCATTCTGCAAGACCCTCGGTGCATATAGGGTTTAGGGCATCATTCTACATAGCCAGATAACCTGGTTCCTTGTTCTGGACTCCTGGTATGTACCCTTGAACAGGTCAGTCGCTTGGGATTACGGTAGGGTTTCGGTTTGGGGTTTTGGGCTTAGGGTTGCCTTTAATCGGCTTTTCGCTGTGGGGCTTCTGTAGAATTTGGGTTCGAGGGATTAGGATATAGCGACAGCTCTATGGGTTCGGGATGTGCGAAGTCTTTGGGCATCGCCTTCAGGACCAGGGGTTTAGGATGCCGGGGCAAGGAGCTTAGGATTTCCAAATGGTCTTATAAGACTATGTTCACAGACTGGGTCAGCGGCTCAGCACCTCCTTCCAAACTTACCAACAATCACCTCTACAATCGTATTACAATATTATATACCTTTGCAAATTTGCAGTCTCTTAAACCTCTTATGTTGCTTCCACCTAAAACAGGCCCGACCCAAACCCAAAACCCATCCTGGACCTTTGCGCGTAGATGCCGAAACCCCGAACAACAAACAGAAATCCTAAACTCCAAAACACAAATTCCAAACTCAAGCCCCGAAACTCCAAACACTAAAACTCCGAAACCAAACAGCAAACCCTGAACCCCAAACCCAAAACGCTAAACCCCTGAAAGAAACCGTACAGGAACTCCTTCTTGATCCCTTCCACTATCCCGTTAGAGGCGGCCGAGACTCTCCCGGAGGATGCCAAAGAGGTGGTTCGGCACGTAGAGGATCGAGGTGTCGGCTCTGCCCTGCGTTAGGGCTTCTGGCTTCCGGTATGAAGGTTCTTGATGTGCTTCGGGTTTGAGGTTTGAGCTTGGGGTGTAGGGCTTAAGGCTTCCCGCCTGGGGCAATGGGGCTAAATGGCGTTGGGCTTCAGCGCTTCAGGAGGCTCATGGTTTGGGGTGTAGGTTTGATGTTGAGGTGGGGTCCCGGGGCAGCATGCCAATACGTTGGCGGGGTGGGGGGGAGGGGGCGAATTATGAGGTTGAGGAAGTCTTTAGGACATGGGTTATAAGGGTTTGGATTTTGAGGCTGAGATTTTCCTCACCAATATTCCTCAAAACTGTGACTTTCTGGACCAGCCGGGGCTTGCTGACCTACACTGAACACTGCCATCCAAGCTCCCAGAAACTCCAAAGAACCCACTGCTCTCGTCGCTTCTTCAGCAACCCTACTCGCGAAACCTCAGCACCGCGATGAAGGTGTCTGACTCATGAGTAGTAACATTCTCCGGCAGTCCATGTTGTGAAATATGGCCAAACCCCGAGCCCTGTTCTACTTGTTCAGGGCCGATTAAAGTTTGATATTTCAGTGTCTGGACAACGGGCACCTGAATATCGATGGGCACGAGGTCTTCCGGGTACTGACTCCGAAAGGAACTCACCTCATGGTGTGAGCTTGCAGTGGATAAGAAGTCTGAAGGCGTGGGGTGCATACTGAAGCACTCTATAGCATGAATTCTCATTCTGACGCCTCTGTCACATGCGTTTGGGGCGGCTAGTTGATCATCGTGATCCCAACCAGAATCGCAACATATATACTTTTGCCTGTCACCATGGACTATGGCTATGGTGCGTACAATGGTGTGCTCCGCGTTTGGGGTTCAGGGCTTTGGTCAGGGTTTAGGGCTTCTGGGGTTTTGGGTACCAAGGAGAAATCAGCCGGTAGAAATAGCCAACGAGGCCAGGCCAAGCCATGCCGCCGAACGACCACCCCAGCCCGAAATCCCTGAACCCGAAACCCTGAAACCCCATAATGCAACCCTGGACCTTATCGCCTAGAATGAACCTAGGAACCTACGCCAAAAATCGCGCAACCTTGCAGACCCCGAATCCGAAATGCTCTTCGTGGTGCTCAAAACGGTGATCTTAAGGTTAAGACCTTTGTCACAACGAAACCAAAGCTTGCGACTTGAAACTCTCAAACTCCAAAGCGCCGAACACTCCCTGTAGAGCCCCATCTGCATCCTCAAGTAGCCTAAACCCCATATTTAGCCCGAAACTCTACACACACCCTAAGCCCCTCAGCTTCGGCTTGCCCTGTCTAGGGCTCGGGCGAGGTCGGCAAGGAGGCTATACGGATCTCGGCTGCTCTTTTCGTGTACTTCGCAGTTTGGCTTTGGAGCTTGTCTTCGCCAGGTTCTGAAAACATGTGCAGACAGCTATCATAAACCCGAGAACCCGAAACCCTAAACGCACCTCAGAACCACTTAGGCTCCAGGCTGTTGACAGCTCCAGTGATGAGTGCTTGGCGGGTAGCGTTGCGCGCATCAATAACGACATGCGATTGACATTATAGCAAAACAGAACTCTGTAAACTAGACCACCGTATATGTATGTACACATATACATACAGAAGAGGAGGCTGTGGGGCCTGCGCTTTGGCCGCCCACTGTTTTCAGTTGTTTTCTATGTTTCGAGTGGTTGTGCGTGGGTTTCTGTGCCAGTTGGTCGCTCGTTTGGTGCGCATGCGTGCATGTTTTTGTTTCCAACTACAACATCATCTCTGAACATACATACATACATACATACATACGTGCATAGGCCTGTATAAGTACCCCGATGTACACTACAAGCCACAGCCTGGGGCCACATCCTGCAATTGTCTCAGCAACACCTCGCGCATCAACGACATATAAAAAGGGGAGGTGCGCATGCCGAGTCCTCGGGCAAGCCGTGTAGTATGATCAGCATGATCTGCAGATGATGCTCATACTGATAGCAATGAGAACCATGACAGTGAGGATAATGCTCATGATGGTCATACGATCAGACAACCCAAGGTATTGTCATGATAACATGAGTCACAATGCCAAGGGTTACATAACAAATCAGAATACTGATGACGATGAACACAAGAGTAACGACGAAGAGCATGATGATATCACTGACCATCATGCTACCACTACGTAATGATTTTAATCACAATTGTGACAATGTTAGGGATATATCGGGGTCTAGGGTCCAAGCTATTCGACTCGGTTTCCCTCCTCCTTCATGTCTTAGTCTTTAGGGTCTAGGGCTCAGGGCTCTACCTTGGGTTTAGTTTGCTTGTGCAAAGTCGACATCCCTGCAAAGCCCCAGACTCGTCGGCTGCAGCACGCCCATCGCCACACCTCCAGAAAAAGTACCTATGCAACTCCATACACGCCCTCAACTCCAAACAAGCCTCCTGGAACGTACCCGAACGAAACAAGCTTAAGCTTTCAACTTGAAAGTTGTGTTTACTAATGAGGGGCCTAGGGGTTTAAGGGCTTCTCAAACAAAGGGGTCCAAGTCTCAAAGATGCAGCAGGTGAAGTTGCCAAGTCTCAAAGATGCAGCAGGTGAAGTTGAGAGCTCATGCGGCTTCGGAACCTACGGTTTCGGGATCTGCTTCAACTTCCGGTTTATGGTCTACATTCGAAGGCTTAGGAATGCTAAGCCGCAAAACAGAACGTCTCAAACTCTGATCTAGAGCCTCAGAGCCTTGTTTTAAGCCGCCTGCAACCCGAATGAAACCATAAATGCCCAGGTGAATCTTGATATTTAGGCGATTGCCAAATAGGCATTTATGATAGGGCTGTTTTAGATTTTAGATTTAGACCCGACATGTTAACGAATACCTGCTCAGCTCCTCCGAACAAGAGTGGATTCAGACTGTCGTACTATCCATACCGTATTGAAGCCCCCTTTAGGCCTAAGCCGCCTAATGCCACCTCACTTCACATAACGTCGCTAACGGCTAACGTGCAAAAACTAAGCCCGAAACAACCCCGAACCCTTGAAACATATACAACATACATGTTAATGTATTTAATTGTATGCGTATATGATACAAACAGATAACATATAAACCCGAAAGCTTGGACAATCCACAACGCTAAACGAACCAAAGCCTCGTGCCTGAATCTGGAAGAATTGCTCAACAAACCCTCAACAACTCCAAAGCAAGCCTAAACCCTAAACCCCAGATTCCAAACTCTATAAGCCGTAAACCCCTAAACCCGAAGTCCCGAACCCAAACCCCCATTGCAAGCCCTTATGAAGCCCCCATAAACACCATATGAAATCCGCGACAAATGAAGATCCCCTAAACCCCAAAACCCGGGAAGGGCCTGCGGGTTTCTTCAGCCCTGGTGGGGCTGGCACCTCTCGGGTGAAAGATCACGTTTTAGAGAGTTTGGGGTTCCGGTTTAGGCTTTGATGTTTCCAAGCCCTAAGCCCAAGGCTCAAGGCCTCTCAGCCGAATTACCTATATATATATATATATATACGAATACATATATATATATATATATGTCTATATATATATATATACATACACATCCACATTATGTTATATATATATATATACAGATAGAGCGGGCTGCTGTACCGTAAATCGTCTAGTAGATCTGATGACACCCATAACCCCGCCCAACCCAAAATTATGTACTGTACAGGCAAGCATGGGCTGAGGTGTGAACTTAAGCCCTAGGCTTTTCCGTTCGGGGAGCAAAAGCCTAAGCACTGAACCCTAAAGCGTACAGTGTCTCAAACCCTAGCCCTTGTTACCTGGGCAACCTTCCGCTTCTGACTCTCCGTTGAGACTCTTGAATTGAAGCCCCCCAATGCTTGTGCCTACACGAAGGCAGAGACCAGGATAGACATGGGTAACTCGATAGTTAGTCAGATGGATAGCTAGTGAGTGCCTTAGCTAGGCAACTACATTGCAAGATAAGTAGGAACACACGTAGCTAGCGCTCGACAGATAGATAGAAAGATAGGTAGGTAGAGAGCGAGGCAGACAGCCAGATACATAGAAAGGTTGATGGATAGAACGGGGACCCTCAGAAACCATGGCTGGGCGAGTAAGCAATTCCTCAAGGAACCATGATATGAAAGCACCCAAAGCTCCGAATCCTAAATTGCTTGAATCCTAAATTACTCGGGCCCTAATGTAGACTATGTAGACGTCGTCCATGTGGGAGGCGGCAAACTCCGATGGCGGCGGCAATTTGACGTTGGATCCCCTTCGTCAGCTGTGACAGCCATTGTGGCCTGCAAAGATGGTCATTCCCACGAGCACTGACGTAACAATGGGCTATTGAAACGGCTATTGCGACAAGCTGAATCCCAGGTGCCGCACGGTCCACGCACGTTCAAGCAACGAGTCATGGACACCAGACTTGATTTTGCTGTCCAATTTTGACACCGCAAAGCGTGCAGTCCTTTGCTACAAGTTTTAATGACTTTACCAATCCATTAGATTTCGAGTCATCACCAGCATTCCTGGCACCGCCTTACAGGAGCCCTTAAAGGAATTAACACTGAAAGGAAGCCACACAAGGAACCCCTTGTAACCCCAGTCCTGAGACCAGTCTAAACCAGAGGTCATGATAAAGAGCTATTTATAAAGTGTCATCTATAATGGATCCCGCCACTGACCTGGTGGAAGAACGCCGATCCCAGAAGGTGGGTGCCGATCCGGGAGACCTCGGGGGTTTTTCGCAGGTCTCCGAGCGCGAAGGTCGGTAGTCTTTTTTTTTTGGATCCTATAAACGGTCATGTAGGAGCCTTCATAAGTAGAATAGGGTTTTGGGGCATATTATACTACATTTATACGGGTGAACACCAGAAATAGTATTGGTAGTTGTTTAGGCCACTATAGTAGTAGTCTTTTGGGCTCTCCTCGGAGATGCACCATTTTTAGGGGAGTTGTTAAGGGCTTCTAGGGAGTTTAGGAATGTCTCGAGTTTGTGGCTATAACTTATAACTAAGCGGTCATCTTACCTACCATCTAAAACCCTACATGTTCAAGGGGTCATATTCAAAATACATATGTACTCTGCCGTAGGCTTCGGGCTGCAGGTATCAGCTCGGTACAGACATGTCGAACAACTTGAACCTCCCGCGAGCCCCAACACATAAGGTATAGCGTTTAGAGTATAATAGTTTCAGGAAAGGAATGAGAGGGTCCCTTCTAGGAGAGCGTGGAAATTTAGGCGTTACCTACATCGGGCCCTTCAGTTGCTGAAGCGCTTTCACCCTTCAACCCCCTCTGAGCTCTAAACCCTGAACCCCAAGCTCTAAACCCTCAGCCCGGTGGCGAAGAAGCGGCGCAGGAAGTTGTCGTAGACCTCAGCCAAGCCTTGTCAGGTGGAAGGGACATGCATGCCGAAGAGTAATGGTAAGTTGTGGAGCTTAAGGGCTCCGTAGGCTTCTATGAGGGGTCCATACTGGTTTCAAGCAATTAGGGGTTTTTGTATTTTCGCTTATAGGGTTTTAGAGGGTTCATTAAGGCTCTGGCTCTGAGGTATTAGGGCTCAAGGTTTTAGGGTTTAGGGCTTTCGGATTAGGATGGACTCGGGTTTTGCGGTTCGGATCTTGATCAAGGGGGGCTAAACGTGAGAGCTGCATCCTGTTCTTCGGCATATGCCAGTGCATGAGGGAGATGAAGGTACCTTTACAACAAATATCCGCACTATGTGCCGCCGAAAAGCGGATTCTACAAAAGTGCCGATAGTCTGCGGTGCGTTGTCATGTTGCTTGAAGAACTTGGGAATGGAATGCGCTGCTGCCCCCAAAGCCTGAGCCCCTAAACTCTCAACCGCACTTTTGCAGTTTCTTGCTAGCCGGCTTCGGGACCTCTTCCCTTGTGGAAAGTCGTGGTGCGCGGAACATCAACTGCGCTTCGACTGCAATTTGGTATGTATTGCCAATCACATGGATAAAAATGGCCCACGCAATTCCTGTATTGGCTCTTAAGGTTTCTACTTGGGAACGTATATGGAACTCGCATAAAGCCTTTGTTGTTGTTGTTGTTGTGAGAACTTGGCAGTGCCCGATGGAACCCGCAACTCGGAATCCCGAAGCCCAAACCCTAAGCCCCATAAACCCCTAAACCTCGAACTCTAAACCCTGAGCCCCAAACCTGGTTTGGGGTTCGGGGGTTCAGGGTTTAGGTTTTGGGTAAACCCTAAGCCCTGAACCCAGAAGCGCCGTGGCCTGCATCCAGTCTGATGATCCGCTGGCGGCCGATGCCTAGCAGTGAGATGACCTCAGCTGCCGCTTCTGGTTCAAGCAGCTCCATACAGTAAACCACACATTGGATCCAAGAACCTACTGCTCTTAGCATGTTCTTAGCTATAGTTCAAAGTTAAAAACCTGTAGCTCTAGACGGGGCAGTAACCTACTAGTTTCGAGGGAAGTGTCAAACCCTGTAAATACATCATAGCGAGCGTTCGGCTGCCTGTTCTAGGGTTTGGAGGGGGCTAAACCTAAAACTAATGTCAATGTGCGCCACAACCCTTATGAATGCTGAACTCTGGATGCGATGACTAAATGTTCAAGCATGCCCATGGATCCTGAAGTACCTACATACCACAGAGCAGGATTCCTATCGTAGGAAATTCCATTGCGCTGTGGGCTGTGGAGGTAAACGAAGCTCCGGCCTGTATATCCTACGCCACACAAAAACTCTCAAAGCCTGAATAAACCACACAACAAGTTTGTGGAACGCGTATAGAAGACTCACAAGAACCCGTAGAACTCTTTGGTCGGCTGCTGTAGGGCCGCAGTGACTAGAATATTGAGGTTTTGGGGGTGGATTATGCCATACTAAGACACCCCATTCCTAATTACAAGCCCCAGGTCAAGACCCTCTACATCTCATTGCAACTATACCTATGCAGGCTTCAATCTTACCAGGGGTCGTACATTCTGGTGATCGACGAAGGTCTCGGCAAGACCGGCCCAGTACCTGATGGCTCTTGGGCGAAAGTGAGGTTTAGGGTCTATATCTTTATACACGTGTATAAATATATACACATACATACATTAGACTTTATTGAATTAGAATACACTATACAGTAATAATTAGTATTATATTGTATTATACATACTACATTTATGTTATAGAAGTAGTATATTGCATCATCTCATACCATATTATAGTGCAATTATAAAACAATACATATAGATAGATAGATAGATAGACAGATATATATATATATATATATATATATGATATGGGAGGATTTAGGGTTTGGGCCTGGGGGTTTATGGTTCTGGGTCTTGGGCTTGTGCGGTTTGGGTTATACAAGGGTTGGCATTCGTAGATCAGCCCCCACCACCCAACCAATTTGAGTCCTGACAGTCTGCGCATTGAAGAACAGTCTGAGCTTCACAGCAGCACTTCTGCTTTGTGCGAGGCGGTGTCGGTGTGCTGTATGGCGAATAACCTTTTAGTCTGCTACATTAGTGCCTTCAACTCGAGGAGTCTTGAGGTACCTCAAAGTACCTACTGGTAACTAACTCAGGATTCACGTCCAGTGTCTAGGACTTCCCTACAAGCACCCCAACACCCGGAAGTAGGTTGCGACCTCCAACGATACTTGTCAGGGATAACCCTAATGACAATAGGTAATCGGAGCCGCAGGTCAGCATCCAAAATCCTGAAACCTATATGGTGTAATCAGCTATTTCGCATCTCTTTCATAGTCATTGCTTCCACACCAAGCCCACACCTCACTGTGGGCCGGACTCGGCTACGTCTTCTGTCGTGCGCAGCTCCCGAAAATCCTGCCGATTTTGCCCGCAAGGCTTCAGGCTCGGGACGTTTAGGATTAGCCTGCAGCAGCCATTGTTTTGAAGGGGGGGTGTGTCACCTATCAAATAATCAGATAGGCAATGAGAGACAAACTCGCACCCTAGACTATAGACTGTCAAGACAGAGGAACTGCACGTCTGATAGCCCACCAGCGACCACCACACAGGTCCCTCCCCAAATCTGACACGTAAAGCCCTAAACTTCAAACCCAAAGTCGTACACCAAACACAGAACTTATAGACCCTACACGCCTACAAAACCTTACCTGCATAACCCAAAAAGTCTCCAGTTGATCCTTTGGCGATCTTTGGCGGGAGCCCTTGTAGAACCCTTGAAGCTTACGCAGGAACTCTGTCTCATCCTCGTGCATGTTGTACGTGGCCACATATTTGTCGTAGAGACAACGCACCGCTGGCTCCGACAGAGCCTTCCAAAGAGGGCTTAGGACGGAGCGCAGGGCTTCAGGGCTTTTGGGTCTGTGTTTAGGGAGCTCTGGGGGCTGTAATATCTAAGGTTTGAGGCGTAAGGGTTTTGTGATTATGTGCTTTTTGTTTAAGGCCGAACACGCAGCCACGACAATCAGCGTTAGCTTCTTCTGACTTCTCCCGGGCGATGAAGCGGCTGACATGGACGACGGGGCTGCTTCTGGCATGGAGTCACAACGCAGTTAGAGCAATGCTGACCACATGCAACGTCACTTCGGGTTCTGAGGCTTCAGCAAACGGCTGGATGACGATGCCCTCTCGCTGACAGTCCCTACTTGCCGCACCGGCAAAGCTCATCGATCAATTCCTAGTAGGGATCTTTGCCACATTCCACTGCCATGCCATTGGCACATACCTTCTCTTGCCAACCTTCAGAGTCCTGTGACCTGTGGCTTTTCACGGATTCCTTACTCCAAGCACGCCAAGGTCTGACGTCCACTCTTGCCTAGCGTTTAGGATACTTCAAGGAGTTTCGATTGTTTGGGTGGGTGTTAACTTGGAAATGAGAAGGGCCTGTGCAAGATCCCATTGCAGGTTCAATCATGCTGCTTCGGGGGCCACGATTTTAGGGTCAACAATTCCAAGCCCAAACCGCCTCTTAGACCAGCCCAACCCGAACTGCTATTTACCGGTAGAGCGAGGCAACTAGCAAATCTAGTGGATTCCGAACCACAAACACCGAGTTCAGAACTCCGTTATCCTCTAAACTCCTATGCCTTGCACACCCAACCCGAACTTTTCGCACAAAGTGTGCTTCGTGGGAGAAGCAAAGCTCGATGGTGGAAGGTCCAGGTTCAGGACTTGCTTTGGGTTTAGGGACTTGGCTGTAAGGGTTAGGTTTGACTCCCTGTCGGATCTAGATTTATTTGAGGGTGTTGATCGGAACCCGATTTCATGTTCCTGGTTTCTCAACCTGGACCGCCCCATCGTCATCACTTTGAGACCCTTAAGAAGATCAGATTTAAGGCAGCACCGTGACCATCGCACAAAGTGTCTAAATGAGCAAGGCGGAGCCCGGGGCAGCCACATGAACAGGTGGAGAGAAGCCCACAAAGGCCTTGTACGGAAGGAAGAGGAAGTCGCGCAGCCGATGGGCTATTCGCACCTCAACGTGGCCAAAAAAAAGGGAGCGGGGGGGGGGGTAGGATTACAGACCTGGGGTCCCAAACCCCACCCAAATCCCTGAAGCCCCGCACCTCCGAAACCATCCTCACACTGACCGGCATGCGAGGTCTACATCGAGGGGCCTTGACAATCAGAATAGGGTTTTGGGGTACATTCCAGTATAAGTCTGACAGTGTAAGCAACGCTTGTAGGGTCGGCATTATTCTAACCCTGCTTGTAAGCCAAAAACATCCATGCCGTTGTCTGCAGGGACGGACAGGCCACCGTACTTGAGTTCATGAGGGCATGCCGACTTTGATAGCATTCTTCTAGTCACTGGGATCCGTGACCTGAATGTTAAGCCGTTAAGCCAGGGAAGGATTTCGTGTGTCTGTCTGTGTGTGTATCTGCGCATATGCATGTGTACACATGTATATTATCTATGTGTCTATCTATCTGTGTATGTATGTGTGTGTATATGTGTATATATATATAATATAAGCACTTTACCGTAAAGCCTAATTAATGTTAGATTTTGGACGGATGTGTGTGTATATTAACATTTACATGCAGATGTAAACATACCAAAAGATTGAAGGCCAATCACTCAGCTGCGAAGTTCTCGAACAATAACGCTCTTGAACCAATGCAACTTTTATTTAAGCTGAAGGATGGTTTAGGGGTTTATAGGGTCTATGGAAACCGGAAACTCCATGGGCCTATACACAAATCCAAAACCGGACCCAATGCTTAAAACCCTCGGGCTCTAAATCGTTAAAGGGAATTGGCGGCAACGCCCCTTCGTTTCCGAAATGCCCCCAAACAACACACTGAAACACGCAGCCGCCTTCAACTGCCGATGGGTCCTCTGAGCGAAGAGGACCTGTCGATGTTTGGTTGTTTCGAAAGCGCTGCAACATGGAGGGAGGATAGTTGGTGCAGTGCGTCTAGGTGATTTATCTCAAGAGCAAGAGATAGCGAGAGGAAGTAACCTCTAGCGAATGGACAGTCTCGTCTACTGATAAGGAATCTTTCGGCATGACTGACGATCTGAGGTGTGGTCACTTGTCGTCTGACACTCTTATATAGATGTTCTTGGCGTACACATGTCACATACAGTTACCCCATACGAGGGCGAGGGTCCCAAAACCCTCAACCAAACACCCAAATTAATCAAGCCCTAAATGCCCTAAAACCCAAATCCACGTTGAACCCCTAAACCCCCGTAAAACCCTAGGCAGCGTTGAGCCCTAGAGGTTTCGGGAACTACCAGTACTCGGCAAGGGAGCCCCAAAGCTTGCAGGGGCCCAGGGGAAGCCTTCACTTCTCGGAGAGGCCTTCCTGTGGAGCTACGAATGTAATGTAGGGGCCTTAATATAAGAATAGGGTTTCGGGGTATATTATACTATAGTTATAATATAAGGGACACCCAAAAATAGTATAGGTAATTATTTAGGCCCCTACATTCATTTGATACAAGGGGCCTGCCTGGGTTTCTGTTAGCTCAGGGGTCTGAACCATGTGGGATTGGAGCTTGAAATTTAGAGTTTCGGCTTTCTGCCGAGCCAAGATGGGAACTACACCGCCAAGTTATAAAGGACCTATATATGGTGACAGGATCCTAAACATCACTAGAACCCTTGATACGACTACCCCGAATGAAGGACTCCCGAAGTCCTTCGAGCGCTGGGCGACTCCGGGCTTGCTGAACCTTAAAGTAACCTCAAAGACAACCCTTATACTACAATGGTTTTGAAAGGGCTACAGACTTTATTCAAATACTCCTCAGAGAATCTGACCTTCCAGTTGTTAAGCTTGCTCTTCTTGCACCTACCATTCCTGAATCCTAAGCCTAGCTCATCCGACCACGGTTTAGGGCTTAGGGTTTAGGGTGGGTTCCGATAATTTCTATCCACGGGGAAACATTAGCCCTAGTCTACCCGAGAGCTCGAGCAAAGACGAAATTCGAACCGACAGGCTGCCACTCCATCTGAACCCGAGACCAAACCTGAAAGTCCCAACCCCTAAACCGTAACTTTTCGGCTCCACAACGAGCAGCCATAAGCTTGTGCTTTGTAGCGCCTGCATACAAGTTCAAGCGCCGAGTTTGTAGGACCCCTGACCCAAAAGGAAACGGGCCAACCCCATAGCACCCAAACCTCGAAACTCGAAGAAATGCAACCGAAACCCTGAACCCTAAAGCCACCCCAAACTTGGCCGTTGAAGGTCCCTGAACCGCGAAACTACATCATCGTCACATATGAACCCTAAACGCGAGCAACCGAAACTGGAGAACCCCCGATAAGGTCCTTTGTCTCTCAACCCTAAAGTCGCTAGGCCCCAAGTGTGGTTGATATTCACTGGAAGCGCCGTGTACCAGAACACCCTTCTTTTTCCAAAAACAAATTCCTTCACACATAGGACCTGCAAGACGATGCCTTGTCTGACTGCCCCGCGTCCTTGCCACCCCATAGCTCTTTCAGTGTTACCGTCTGCACCTCCTCGCTCGAAGATGGGAGGCCATAGAAGGCCCACAGGCGCGTAAGCGTGATTATGGGCAACAATATTTGTGTGTATATATATATATATACATGTATGTATGTATGTATGTATGTAGGCAGGTACGTAGGTAAGCGTACATATATATATATATATATATGTATATATATATATATATATATATATATTAAAGATATATATGCAGAGACAGAGAGAGTTACTTAGATAGATATGGTTGATTCATATACAGGGCAGTGCTTTCTTTCGGAGTCCTTGGAGCTTGGAGGAGTTTGACACATTAGCGGCTTCTGGTTTTGCATGTTTGTCGCAGGGATCGCAACCTTGAGATTTACTTCCCAAGTACCCATGGGTTGAACAGTTCAACTAGCTGCTGGGTCTGATCGAAAGTCTTCAACGAATGGGAATTCAACCTGTCTTTTTATTGACATCAGAAAATGCTCGTCGTAGTTGTTGGCCAGCCCCCGAAAGGCCGCTTCGTTCCCGGGAATTGGGCAAAAGTCCGCATGCTCGCTCTTGCCCCAAGCCCCGAACTCCCAGGACCTAAAGCTGAAATCTCGGTTTTCATGAAAAAAGGCCCGAATACTTGCGACTATTGTCTTTCTTAATACTATAGAGCTTGAGTTCTGCAGTGTGTGGGTCAGGTCTTCAGGGTGGGTGTTCGTGTCTGGTATGACTGGGGAATCCTTCTCCTAGGTGCAATTGAGTTTAAGACTCAGAGTTTAGGAGTTCGGGCTTCGACAGGCCTTGAAAACAACACACTCCAGGCTGATCCGCGTGCCCTTACTGGTGCCATGCAGGGAAAGCACGGCAGCGCCTGTAAAGCATATTTCATGCTTGTCGCAACATGTAAAATTAGAAAAGCAATGAAAAGCATGTTGGGGACTGAGTACGGTCCAAATCCTGCCTCTACCGTGATACGATCGCGGACTGGTTGGTCCGAGCCGCTGGAGTCTTGGCTAACGGCTTTGAGCTTTGGAGGCTCAGGCGGTCTGGGGCCCACAATTTGAGACCTCCCTCGCAGGACGACACGTACACCAAGAACAAAAACCAAACACTGATACGGATCCGAAGAACTGGCAGCTAGCATACGACTCAAGTTCGTGAATATCGTAAAGTCGTAAATACACTAACGAACCGCGCTCTGCACCTTCTGTTCCAAAACACTGTTTTCGCGTCCGCATGTTCAGCCTGTAACTGGCAAGACCGCGTACCCAAGCCGCTTCTGCAAAGAACGATACACTGCCAGAACGTCTTCGTGGACGACGGACGGGAACGCTTCTTGGGTCTTGACCTCACACTCAGGGCCGCTGCTATGGCCGTCAGCACCTTCGGGGTGTCGCCGCAGGTCTGCCCAACGGGCAGCCTCGAGCGCCTGCTCCATCTCATCGGTCGAGATCATGTCGCCGACTAGACCGTCCAATACCTGCTTTACAGCCTTGTCAAAGGACTCAGAAGAAGACGTTGCAGTCTCGAAATGAAGGAAGACCATGCCCTCCGCCGGGTGTTCGAATAACTCGGTCATGTTAACCACGTATTGGAGCATTCGCTCTGCCACAAAGGGGATGCCCTCTTGGGGGGACATGGTTTGGAGGGAAACTTCTGGCCATCCTGGAGGAATAAAGACCACATTTAAGTGTTCCTGACCACTGGCATGGTAGCAGTAGGCGGAAACCGCCATAGAAACAGGGTCGCGAATAAGCCCTTCCACTCGCAGGCCCTTTCCCTTCTCTTTGGCACGAGCCCTCTGATGCTCCACAAGCTCGGGCGACGCCGTGTCAATTATGAACCGAATTGGCGCCTCGGGTTTTTCGGCACCCGTCATAGCAGGGAGTGATGATCTCGCCCATGTTGTCGTCCTGTGCCCCTAGCACACCTTGGAACAAGTAGATCCAAATCTTGTGCAAAAGGCTGACACCGGACTTGTGATGAACAGCACCAACGAATTCGAAGACGTCCCATGGCTTCCCATCCACCAGCTTTCTCTTAGCTGAAGTCGCCTCGGCAAAGCGTGGTTGGGCCTTCCTCTGTACAAGATGCGTCGCACAAGCTTCCTCAGCATGGTCTGTTGAGGCAACCAGCAAAGCTGGCAGCCATAGCAGCGCAAGAAGCATGGATCCCTTGAGCGCTCGGAGGGGTTTCGAGCCTCGATGCTGGAACCGGCGTCTGGCTTCACGCAGATGTAGGGATTAGGGCCAGTTAAACCTGCACTATACTGAAGTTTCCGGCTCTGCACGTTTGTCTGCGGCTCAGGACCAGTTTAGCGAACAGAACTGGAGGCTGGGTTTAGGTTGCTCACCTTGGCTTCGGACAGAGGGGCCGTACCAAGGCTTCACGTAATGTAGGGCCTTTAGTCAGTAAACCAAATAGGGCTTCGGGGGTCCATTATAACATAATTGCAAAGACCATACTACAAACATTATGACAGGAATAATGACAAGACTAGTAAGGAGCCCAAAGCAATAATACAGCCCAGTAATCAGAATCTGTGCAAGCGACCAAGTCCCGTGGAGAGAGACTTCACTTCTTCAAATTTCGAAACCGTGTAGGAATTTTGTGAATGTGGTTTAGGGTTAGGGCTTTACGGTTGCTTGATGGTCATTGCGTAACTTGGCCATGAACCATGAGTGGGATTAAAGATCGAGGCCTTGATCTACGAAGCCCTAAACGAACCCAAAGCATTATGCTTGAGAAACTTTCTAACAGAGATCAAACGCTTCACCAATGCGAGCAAGCCACGAACAGGAAAACCGAAATCGGACAAAAAAACAAGAGTCCCTGAACCCGAAACCCTAAACCTATATATACCCAAACTGGAAACCTCAAGTCCGAGACCGTCCTCGGCCCACAAAGCTCGGGCGCGGCGGAGGCTTGACAAAGTGAGCCTTGCACGGGGCGTCGATGAGACGGAGATGATCCCTGAACCTTGAATCCCTGAACCCTTAAGGGTTCTGGAGGCACAGGAGCGTTTCTGACAGGCTTTGGGTTCAGGGTCTATGGTTTCGGGGCTTTGGATAGGGTGGGTTTAGGGTTGAGGCTGGCTGTATAATAAGCTTAATATTTTTGTCTTCGGTCGGTTGCGGATTAGTCAGGATCTTGGTGTCTGGCCAAGGCTTAGTGTTTATGCGTGCAAAACTTCGTAGGGAATTCTTGGAACGTCTTCGTTTTTGTGAAGTCTGAGTATCGGCTCCATGGTCTGGAAATTACGGCTTGATGTCCTTGGCTATAGCAGGTGGGGTTACGGTAGGCGTGTTCTGGCTGGGGGTTATGGGCAGCTCGGCCGTGCAGCATATGACGCTTCTGGAAGCTTCGCATGGCTACAGGGTGCTAAATCGTTTAGAGAAGAAGTATATTGTTGTTTTGACAGGGGGTTGTATATAGCTGCATACGTACATATGCAAATGCGTACATCCATACATGCGCGTGTATACAAATATACATATATATATACAGTATACACACACGTATTTGTATATGCGTATACAGATGCATATGTAAGGGGCCATATACCTAATAGGATATGTATATGCATGCATTGAAGTAAGTAAGCAAATAAGTACGTACGTAAACAAGTAAGTAAGTACGTAACTAAGCAAGTAAGTAACTAGAAACATGGGCGCAAGTATCTATGTGTCTGTAAGTATACACATATACATGTTTGTGTATATATTAACCCTTCAGACATGTATCACTCTAAGCGCACCCCTTGGCTGCCGCGGCCGCCAGTGCCATGGGGGCATGGCGAAGTCCGGCCACGGGCGCAGAGTTGCGGGGATTTTTGGCTTTAGGGATCTGTTCCGGGTAGTGTATATGAAGTATCTTTGGGGGTGTTGGGCTTTAAGGGTTCAGGGGCTTTCGTTTTGGTCGTTCTCTAGTCTAATTCTTCCAAGCCTATGGGGCTGTACCCTGCAGTTAAGGAGTCATCATGCTACCGTAAAGGCTCCGGGAACGGATTTTGGGGTTGAGGCTTTCATATATAGGAGTCTTGACACTTGGTGATAACAGAACACAGTCAGCAGAAGGAACCCTGATGCAGAGTGGCAGTACTTATTCACGCTCCTGTAACATGAATCCAGAGCAATCTGTTCTTTAAGGCTCCACGCGAACGAATGCCACCTGTAGGGGCGTTAGCACAGTAGAAAAGGGTTCCTTTACAGAGTGAAGTCTTCAAGTCGGGACTTCCGTCTCTGGTGTTGTGAAGACAAGTCCAGGTGCTCTGTAGCCTTTAGATCGTAAGCCGTAAACCCCAAACCCGAAGTCTTTAATCCAAAACCCTAAAGTGTGAGGACATCGTGATCTCGCGAACCTTAAGCCACGGCTGAGGGTTTTAGCGTGGAGGCCTGGGGATTCGGGTATTGAGCGGGGCTCAGGGCCTAGTGTTTATAGGCAAGAAGGCAGGAAGGCAAGAGTAAGACAATCACAAACATGAACACGAGCCCGATGAATGTCAATGCGCATCCGAAGCCAAGAATGAAAACTTGCTGTTTCCTGGCCTGAGACAACCGTATGACTTCAGAAGGCCCAACAAAGTCCCAAACCCTGGACTGTGGGCATCTCTGTAAGGCCGAAACCCTAAACCCCCCTACTCCTGGTGAAGCCCCTTTTTGCGGCGCTGCCCGGATCAAACCTGCTGTGGTCTTTGTACAGAGACAGCAGGGCTTAGTAAGACAAGGTCCCCCAGTTTCCTAGGCGGTGAGTTCCCTGACCCCAAACAGAATGGCCAAGCGAACAAATGCCATGCCTGACCCTAAGCGCGTGGTTTACTACAACGGTGGGCACGTATCACTGGTCTGTAAACCCTATACTAGCCCTACAGACCGTAACCGACTACACAGACAGCTGGGCTTGCATGGCGAAGTCGCAATCCCTGAACTGGGGCACCTAGGCATAGTAAGAGCATTTCCGGATCGTATCCGGCGCCAACCTCGTCACCGAGGGCAGATCACATCCTTTCTCGGCGTTCGCGGCTCCCAATGGGTCCAATGTTGACAGGTCGGCTAGTCTCAGAAGCTGTTAAGCCGTTTTCTGGGGCTACGGTGGGGGTGGAAACACAGCGGTTTCGCCTATAGATACGGAGCCCTACAGCGATTGCCTCAAACTCAAAAGGTCCACCAATCTCGAACGCCGAGCAAAAAAAGAACCTCTTTACCTTAATCACATCCGCTAAACAAAGGGGTAAAGAGGCTTCCGTAATTAGAGTAGAGATATGGAAGCCCTTCGAAACCAAACAACTACTAACCCAGGCCAAGACTCCAAGTACCGAGGGCATACTATACATACATATATATATATACACATACATATATGTTAATGATGAGAATGATGATGATGGGGAAGGGGGAAGGGGATGATGATGTTCATGGAGCCGATGCTGTTGCTGCTGCTGATGATGATGTTGAAGATGGCTCTGGTAATGGTGATGATGACGAGTTTAAACTTAAACCGGTCCCTAAGGGCTCTACCGGATGGGCATAAGCCGCAAGTTCTGAACCTCAAGCCTGAGCACATAGGACATTGGACCCATTCAGGTTGCAAGGCTAGTCTTACTACAGAATTGCCGGCAAAAGGCAGAAAGACGCCGCGCAAAGCTACTTTAAAGAGCTCGATGAACTCCGAAACCATCGTGAAACGGCTCAAACTTTTCGGAGCATGCACGAGATGTCAAAGGCCACAATACTTCAACTTGATTTGTGGGGCGCAGTGTAGAACTATGTAGGGACTATTGGGGCACCCTATATTGACGATTGTTCCGAAGACTATATTGCGTGGTTCTCGGCTTAGGGTCTACATCGACCTCGTACACCCGCACCCTACATCCAAAATCCAAGTCTCCTGCTGTTTTACACGGACTGACACCTTGTGACTTTGGGGCTAAACGGCCAATCAACGCAGGGTTGTGCCACTTTCAGCTGAGGATAAACGGCACCCTGAATCTCACACTACAGCCCGGAACCCAGCTCATAGAGCCCTAGAAGCCTCTCAGGGCTTGTAGGGTTCAGGGGCTCGGGTGCACGAACCCACAACGCGCCTAAACAATAGACCCTAGATCCCGATCCTCATCTCCATTTCAACGTCTTGCTGGCGTCTTTATGCCCTGCCTCCCCCCGGATCGACCTCGTGCGGCTCCGCACAGGCCGGAAAGCACTCAAAGGGGTGACCCCAGAGTGGCTGATTTGAAGCCAAAAAGGTACTGTAGCATAGTTGGCTTGGGGACTTGGGGTTTAGGGCCTAGGACGTTTAACATAACTGGGCTTGGATTGCATAACATGACACCGGCTAGTACTAGTTGCTCCGACCACGATATTTCGCAGGTTGGGCAGAAGGTTGGAGGAAGTCGGCAGTTGGAGGAAGTCGGCTACATCCAGTTCGGTTCGCATAGCCCTTCAATGGATTAGCCTGTAGTTGGCCCGGGAACTCGGTAACTGAAGTAAGAGTTGGGTTTGGTAGTGCTGTCGCTTAGGGTCTCCACGATGACTCGGCCGCCACAGCCAAAACGCTGCTCTGAATCGGTCGTGACGATTCAAAGCCAAAGCTGGGCGACGATTACCACTGTCCACCCGCCCTAAGGCTCGAGGGCCAAGGTTTCCTGTGACGAAGCCCTGTAAACTCTAGATGCAACCCCAGTCCCAACGGAAGAGTAAACTGCAACTTATGAATCAAAACAGTAGGAAGGTGGGGTCACAAGCAGATCTCATAAACCCAGAACCGCCCGGTTCGGAGCCTTAGGGCTGGCGAGGCTCACAGTCAGCTCACCGTTTGGCGGCAGGCTTTTTCAAAACCTGGGGTTTAGGGTTTAGAGGGTTTACAAGCGCCACAAAAGCAACCCTGAGCTCAGAGATTCTGATATCCTTCATGAGGAAGCTTCACTTCAGACTCTGCGAGTCGGCTTATAAGCTTGGATGTCATGCAAAACCGCTGAGCAACCCGAAGCGTGAACACTTCGTCTGAACTTCATCACAGTCCACAACCCTTTCAAATCTCATGGAGCGCAACTTGCATGCAATCCCAAGAGTGCACAAAACCCAAACTGTCATTTAAAACACAACTATCTTTGTACAACTCGAGAAACACACACTTGCAGGCACTTAGATAAACACAAAACAGAGAAGAAGAAAGTCTGTAAAGAGCACCCGCGACAGTAAATAGTGGGATATGCGTGTTCGGGAGCTCTAAACCCGAAGCCAAGCCCTTCAGGCCTACCTGTAACCCCAAACCCTACAAAATAGAAGGATATGACTCCTTCACGGGCATAAGCCTTCAAACAATAGGTAATCGGAACCGTACGAGCAAGCCGTGAATACAGCCACAAATTCCTGAAACGCTTAACCCCCGGACATTGGGGCCAAGCACTATATATCTCACTGGCCCAAAACCCAGTTGAAACTTTCAGAATCGACTACCTTATAAGTTGAGAAGTTGAGTCTATACAGCCAATAAAACATAGGCCGGAGCCTCAACCCTCAACGCCTCAACCGCTAAACCCCCACACCCTAAACCCTGCACCCGTACACCCGCAAGCCCAGCAATAAACCCTGATATTAAACTTCAGCGGGCGCGCCTTGCCCTTGGCTTTCGAGCTCGCCTGCATCAACACATGCCGAACCCGGAGGCAGGTGGGATCCATACCCTGACCCTCGATCTAAACACTAAGCTTTAAGCTTCCGGGTTTGGGGGTTTTGAGGATCCTCTATAGCAGCCAGCCTTAATACTTGGAAAATGGTCTTGCGGCATACTTCGGGATATTATACATACATATATTACAGTTTAGAAGGACTACAAGAGATTCTATTACTACTTTTGCCGACCCCTGTGCATCATGAATGAACCGCAGACGCCAATCAGGGGTCCCTTGCAAGCGTTACAATACAAGGTCTTGTAGAGGTTCTTAATAAAGTCTTGGCGGGTTTTAGGGCGTCAGGTTTAGGGTCTGGGGTTTAGGGTCATATAGAGACTTTTGCGGTGGAGAGGTTGAGGACGTTAGAGCTTGCGAAATCAGGAAACTCATGAACCTACATAAAACTAAGTAGGGCATTCTCGATTCGCAACTTTGCACTGGTTTGCACAAGTAACCAAGCTTGGTGTATCCTAAATCCCACGATCTCCGTCCTGAAATCGCCTTCAGAAGGCCTCCGAACCCTCGCTTCTATACCCACAGCCCACAGCCCTGAAACCTGATGAAACCGTAAATAGATTTCTAACATTACACATGGACATGGAGCACGAAGGGTTGCTGATCTCGAAGCTGTGTGCACACCCTGAGTGGAAGACATGAATGCGCTGTTGTCGCTGAAGCCTTTCACCCTGTAGCCTACTCTGGCGCCATATCGCACACGGACACCCTAGATTGTCTGGGTCTGTGCAACAACATAATCAGCAACACTTACTGAATTCTTGGATCACTGCCCACAAAGCCCCGTCGAAATACACACGCCAACGCTCATCCGCAACGGGCCCAGGGAGGCGCGAAAAGTCTTGAAGTAGCACCCCAGCAGCCCCAGAAACATACGCAGCTCAGAATCAAAGGGTGCAACTGAACGATAAAGGGCCTTGCTCGCCGGAGCTTGAACACTAGACTAGTAATTATTGCCCGAACACGCACATTCCCTAGGCCCTAAACGTTTCATATTTTTAGAGCAAACAAAGCCTAAACTCCATCATGTAATCAGCATTGGGTTTTGGGGTAGGCTATCAGTATCAACCTACATAGACTTTAAAGGGATATATTGCTAGGTATCCCGACCCCTCTATTTTCAGCGCTTGCGTGTGTCCCTGAGACCCACGCCTTCGGCTTCGCATGAGGCTTCACCGCAGCCTTCTTATGTGTTACCCTAGGGCTGTACTTAACCCATGGGTTACTGGGCTACATATTATGGTTAGTAACCTACTATTTAGGAACCCGGAGCCCAGGTTTGCAAAGCCGCCCCCGAAAATGGAATTGGAGTCCGGGCGTATACTACATTACGCTGTAACGGTGTACCCTCCGTACACGCTATCAGGGTACCGTTGTACATCCTTTGCAAGTTTAACAAGCGAGCGCTGAAAATGAAAAAGGCAAAAAGGGTGTTGACGCGGAATATAGACGTGCTAGTACGTCCCAGCAACGACTTTACCCCAATCCTGGCTGACAGGTTTGGTTTGAGAAAAGCGCCAGCGCGTCCCAACAACGACTTTACCTCAATCCAGGCTGACAGGTTTGGTTTGCGAAAAACGCCAGCACGTCCCAACAACGACTTTACACGAATCCTGGCTGACAGGCTTGGTTTGAGAAAATCGCCAGCACGTCCCAACAACGACTGTACCCCAATCCTGGCTGACAGGTTTGGTTTGAGACAAGCGCCAGCGCGTTTGAACAACGATTTTACCCCAATCCTGGCTGGCAGGTTTGATTTGAGAAGCACGCCAGCACGTCCCAAAAACGACTTTACCACAATCCTGGCTGGCAGGTTTGGTTTGAGAACAGCACCAGCACGTCCCAACAACGACTTTTCCCCAATTCTGGCTGACAGGTTTGGATTGAGAAGAGCGCCGGCACGTCCCAACAACGAATTAGTTTACACCTATGCTGGCTGACAGGTTTGGTTTGAGAAAAATGCCAGCACGTCCCAACAACGACTTTACCCACATCCTGGCTGACAGGCTTGGGTTGAGACAAGCGCCGGCACGTCTCAACGACGACTTTACCCCAATCCTGGCTGACAAGCTTGGCGTGTCCAACAACTTCTGCACGTTCCAACAATGACTTTACCCAAATCCTGGCTGACAAGCTTGGCGTGACCAAAAACTTCTGCACGTTCCAACAACGACTTTACCCCAATCCTGGCTGACAGGTTTGGTTTGAGACAAGCGCCAGCGCGTTTGAACAACGATTTTACCCCAATCCTGGCTGGCAGGTTTGGTTTGAGTAAAGCGCCAACACGTCCCAACAACGAACTCACCCCATTCCTGGCTGACAGGTTTGGTTTGAGAAAAACGCCAGCACGACCCAACAACAACTTTACCCCAATCCTGGCTGACAGGCTTGGTTTGAGAAAAGCGCCAGCACGCCGTAACAACGTTTCTACCCCAATCCTGGTCCCAACAACGACTTTACCCCAATCCTGGCTGACAGGTTTCGTTTAAGAACAGCGCCAGCGCGTCTCAACAACGTTTGGGTTGAGAAGAGCGCCAGCACGTCCCAACAACAACTTTACCCCAATCTTGGCTGACAGGCTTGGTTTGAGAAAAGCGCCAGCATGTCTCAACAACGACTTTACCTCAATCCTGGCTGACAGCTGTCTGAGAAAAGCGCCAGCACGTCCCAACAACGACTTTACCCCAATCCTGGCTGACAGGTTTGGTTTGAGAAAAGACCAGCACTTCCCGACAACGACTTTACCCCAATCCTGGCTGACAGGTTCGGTTTTGAGAAACGTGGCAGCGCGTCTCTACAACGACTTTAAACCACAATCCTGGCTGACAGGCTCGGATTGAACCCAATCCTGGCTGGCAGGTTTGGTTTGAGAAAAGCGCCAGCACGTCCCAACAATGACTTCACCTCAATCCTGGCTGGCAGGTTCGGTTTGAGAAAAACGCCAGCACGTCCCAACAACGACTTTACCCCCATCCTGACTGACAGGTTGGGTTTGAGAAAAGCGCCAGCACGTCTCAACGACGAATTTACCCCAATATTGGCTGACAGGTTTGGTTTGAGAAAAGCGCCAGCACCTCTCAACAACAACAACAACAACTTGACCCCAATCCTTGCTGACAGGCTTTGCTTGAGAAAAGCACCAGCACGTCTCAACAACGACTTTACCGCAATCCTGGCTGACAGGTTTGGTTTAAGGAAAGCGCCAGCGCGTCTCAACAACGACTTTACCCCAATATTGGGTGACAGGTTTGGTTTGAGAATAGCACCAGCGCTTCAATCCTGGCTAACAGGTTTGGTTTGCTTTGAGAAAAGCGCCAGCACGTCTCAGCAACGACTTTACCCCAATCCTGGCTGACCGGCTTGGTTTGGTCTGAGAAAACCGCCAGCGCCTCTCAACAACGACTTTACCCCAATCTTGGCTGACAAGTTTGGTTTGAGAAAAGCGCCAGCGCGTCTGAACACCGACCCCTACCCCAATCCTCGCTGGCAGGTTTGGTTTGAGACAAACGCCAGCACGTCCCAACAACGATTTTACCCCAATCCTGGCTGACAGGTTTGGTTTGGTTTGAGAACAACGGCAGCACATCTCATCAACGACTTTACCCCAGTTCTGGCTGACAGGCTTGGTTTGGATTGAAAAAAGCACCAGCACGTCCCAAATGACAGGTTTGGTTTGGTTTGAGAAAACCGCCAACACATCTAACGACTTTACCCCAATCCTGGCTGACAGGTTTGGTTAGGTTTGAGCAAAGCGCCAGCACGTCCCAACAACGACTTTACCCCAATCCTGGCTGACACGCTTGGTGTGGTTTGAGTACAGCGACAGCACGTCCCAACAACGACTTTACCCCATTCCTGGCTGACAGGTTTTGTTTGGTTTGAGAAAGACGCCAGCACGTCTCAACAACGACTTTACCCCTATCCTGGCTGACAGGTTTGCTTTAAGAAAAGCACCAGCGCGTCTCGATAACGACTTTCAAATCCGGACTAACAGGTTTGGGTTGAGAAGAGCACGTCTCAACAACGACTTGACCCCAATCCTGGCTGACAGTTTTGGTTTTTTGAAGGAACCCGGAGGAAGAGTATTTACAAACCCTACACTGATTGTTCAGATCGCTTTATTCAGGACCCTCAAAACTGAACCTTGGGCTTCCAATTTTATCTACCTCCTCAGGGTTGGGAGTGTAGGGTTTACAGATCTCGGGATTCGGTGTTGATGTGGGGGTTTAGAGATTGGGGGATCTAGGTTGGTGGAGGGCTTCGGATTTGACCTTCGGAGGATTCTAAGGGTCAGAAATCCATAGCTAAGCGGGCTCACAACCCACATTCAAAGGAGGCTTGGGACGAGTGGCCTTCTTGGGGATCCACCATCACAGAGTGTGTGGAGTACATGGGCCTTCGAGGTGTCCTTGTACCTACGCTTTTGCGGTCTAGTGTGAGAGCCTGAAGGAATGGGATTTTGAGCTTGAGTACCGCCAGCATACTGTGAGGAGTAGTATGAGGAATGAGGTATTCAGCAAAAGTTTCGGGCCTATTGATATAGGAGCTGTATAATGGCTAGGATCGGATTCCGTGGGGTTCCGTAGTACTGTTGACAGTACACCCCGAAACCCTTATCTAGATGTCGTTGTGCTGTGCTGAGCCATGTGTGTTCTTATGTGTGTATATATATATATGTATTTATTTATTTCTTATTTATTCGTTCGTGTGTGTGTGTGTGTGTGTGTGGCTGTGAGCTGTGTGTGGCTGTGGCCTTCGCTCTCACTCGGGAGTCCGAGGAATGGGCCACATCGGCTCGGCCGGCCTGTCGTGGCGAGACATCGCCCTTTTTGCCTCGGCCGCTCTTGCAAATTCTTCCTGAACTCGGATCTCCTGCAGCTGCTGGAACCAGTCCACAGCACCATCGCCAGCAGCTTTGGCTTCCAAGCCCCGACGAAGAATACCTGCTTGCACTTCGCCCTGCCTTGCTTCGGACAGTCTGGCCGCTGCCAGAGTAAGGCTCCTAAAAAAACCCTAAACTCCTGTCGAACCTGACTGACTAAAGCCCTGTGAGGACACTTGAGAGAACCGTAGTCAAATTTACTGATAAGGCCCCTCTCCTCCATTACGCACTCAGGATCCTACAGCTTGGCATCGCCTGGCAATGACTCCAACTGCTACTTTTTGAGGGTGATGCAGTTCTGCATCATACACGACTTCGTCACATTACAGGTGTGGTTTCCGGTTTTTGGGGCATGAGGGTTTAAGGCCACACGGTTGTCCGAAGTGCGCACGAAGGCCGCTGAAAAAGGTAATCCACATTACACCCTCGACCCCAGAACCCAACATGCTAAATCTTAGCCCCGTGTGCAACAAGCCCTAATACTAAATAATACTGAACCCCAAACCTCAGATCAACCCCCCTCACAAAAAAAAGCCACACTGCCTTCTTGGAGGAAGCTTTTTTCGGTGCCGCCTTGGGCGAAGCCTTCTGTGCGGCCTTTGGTGCAGCCTCGCAAAATTTACGAAAAAAGGTTGGTTTAGGGTTTAGCCTCAACTTGAGAGTTCAGGGTTCATGTGAGGGCTTCTGGCAGTACACAAAAGGCAATCAACGGTCAACGGCCCCTGACTCCCTTCTGCATACATACCTTTAGCCCCAAGCCCTACAGGATAGTGGGCAATGCCCCCCCCGTAAGGGTGGAGTCACGCAGGAGCCCATGCCCTGAGCCCCGGCTGAGTGCAACGCCGTGTACCACGTGCTCCAATCTCCGAACGTTTTCGAGTAGCAGGGCCAAACCTTATAAACCCTAGGCTTTAAGGTTTAGCCCTGCTACTTAAAGACAAACGGGTAAACCCCCCCCAACCCTGAAGCCTATCAAGCTAAGTCCTGAATGCCCGAAAACCGAAGACCCAAAGGCCCCCCAGACCCAGAAACCCTGCTGGACCCACACGAAGTCACAAAAAGGACACCTGCAACACTTGCAGCAGGCCAAAACTTCGCCAAAACAAACATGTCCTATGAACAAATATGACGAACCAGGCAGTGCAGGGCCTTGGCTTTGGCAGAGGGCTTCTTCATGACGACGGGCTCTTCCTCAGCCATCTCCTTTGGGTCGGTCGTCTTCGGGAATTGTTCTTTAGAGGGGCTTAGGGGCTTCAGTTGTTTGCCATGATTTTCACGGGATTCAGTGGTGCTGAGGCGGTTGAAGGATTAGCTGTGTTAGCCTCTTGTTGGTTGCGTCGTTTTGCTTTTCTTTACAGTGAGGGTATGGAGTTTGATAGGGGGGAAGACTCCACACTCTCTCGGAAGGGGTGGGGGGGGGTGGTACAGTTGAATCGGGTTCGCACTGAGGGTTAGCCAAGGCTTGGAGTCAAGCTCCGAAACAAGAAGCAAAAACTCGCCAAAGTCGTAGAAAAGCCTTACTACACAAGCATTCAGCACCTTCTTTTAAAGGAGACTCGCCTGATGGCCTATCCTCCAAGTCCTCATTACAGGGTAGGGCAAAGAGGTCAGGGCGCGATACTAGTATATAGGGGTTCGTCAGGGCACAATGACTCATGAGTCTTGTTTTTGCGTTGACGGTATTGGCTGCAAGTAGTTCATTCAGGGCACACAACCGAATGGCTCATCGGGCTAAGGGGCTTGATTAGCGAATAAAGGGTTTAGGGCAAAGGGAACCCATGACATGGAGGAGATTACTGAAATCTGCAACACACCGGGGCTGCCGCTGGAGTAAGTAGAATCTTGCTAGCGGATCTATAGCAGTATAGTTATACGGAGACGAAACGGTGAATTACTTGCTAGTTTGGACACCCCTACATCATCACAGTCTTCATGCCGGCACTTGTTCGGGACCATGGTGTCATTGAGCGCTCTCGCTTCCCAACTAGTACGGGGACACATCCTACTGTGAAGCCCTACTGTGGAACAACCCCGCAGATTTCTCACTAGGGACCTAGAGGAAACACCCTGCCGGCATTTCTCGGTCGCCTCGTCTTCCTCCTCTTCCTCCTCTTCTTCTTCCTCTTCTTCCTCCTTCCGACACTTCCGAAACCCGTCGATTTCTCGTGTTCATTAAGGCTGTGGGCGCGCTGGGAGCTGTAGGATTTCTGGGTTGTGCCGTCCGGGCTTGTGGCTTGCATGGTGGCTTTGTATGTTTCCTCCTGCCCGTATGTGCGTACAGACACACGCACGCACACACACACACACACACAGTGCCAGCCCAACCGTTTGCCGAGCATGAAGCCTGCTTATTGGAGTCTCGAAGACTAAGACAGGGTTTCCTGACTTGGGAGTGAAGGTCCTTGCTACAAGAATCCCGACATGTATGTGCATGTATATATTTTTGATTATACTATATCATCTTAAAATAAACTATATTATATTATATATATATATATATACACATTTATGTATATATATACACATTTATGTATACATATATACATAGATAGAGAATTATATAATATGTAAATATATACACACATTATATATATATACACATACTATATACATATATACATATATATCTGTATGTATATGAATATAATACATACACATATATATATATATACAGTTATATATATATATATATATATATAATCTTCTATGCGAAGACGTTGGTGTAGGGGTTAAGCATATTCGGCCTTGTTGCTGTTGGAGGGTTTGCCTGCGAGGAGGCTGTGAGCCTAGGCTATGGACGGTCGCCGACTACTGGCCTCCGTCGCCAGAGAGTTTGCCCGAATCTCGGGCGGATACCCCAAACCCTGAACTCGTTCCGTTGTCGGCATCTGGAAGTACCGCCAGCGAAAAGTGAGAAAGCGGAACCTGCCGTGACCCTGGCACCTAGTTGAGTCGTTTAAGGTTCTGTAGATCCTAAATCCAAAAAGGCCTTGATGAGCAAAAAGTGTTGAGGGCTTGGGCCTAGAAAACTGGATCAGACTTGGGGCATGTGCTCTAAAGAAGTCGAAGATAAGTAGACGCGGCTGCGGCGACTGTATAGTGCTTATGATTCAGATGCTGTAAACTGCATAGTACGTAGTAAGGCTTTTGCATTTGGAAAAATGAGGATACCGTATAGCGCTTTCGCTGCTTCGGGTTATGGGAAGCGGTGTTGCGCCATGCTATACGTAGGTACACAAGCCTCGAACTCAAACCCTTCCAAGCTGCAGCTGCAGTGTATTTCAAGCTGGTAATGCTAACGTCAGGATTCCCCTAAAATCTCCACATCCTCGCCTCTTCCTCCTCCTCTTCGTCGTCATCTGCCTCTTCGGCACCATCCTCTTCCTCTTCCTCTTTCTCTTCGGCCTGGTAGCAGCTTGGGGGTTCCTGCTGTGGCACATGGGTTGCCTAGTGTTGAGGGTTAAAGCCTGTAACTTGTGGTCGTCCTGCGGCTCCCTACGTTTCAGAGGGCTCGACCTTGGGGGCCATGTTTAGGGTAATGACTCAACGGACCCAGACTTTCCATAAAGGTCTTGCGCTACAAGCGGACCATCGTTGCCAACTACCCCATATTCTGACAAACCTCTACCTTTCCTTTTTCGGTGCCTTCGCCGCGGCTTTTGCCTTCGCCTTAGCCTTGGCTTTGCCGGCCGCTTTTGGCGTCGCCTTTGGCGCGGCCTGCGACGACTCACTCAGCTCAGTTGTAAACAATACGGCTTTCGGGTTTATAGGGTTTAGGGTTCTGAAACCTGAAACCCTAAAGCTGAAGCTTCAAAGCCTTAGCTTTATGCTCTAAACCCGTGAAGTAGTGAAAATTAAAATACAAAAGACATACACACAATAGCGGTGGTAAAAAAACATATCATGATCAATGATAATGATACTGAGTGATTATGTCGACTCGCCCTCGGACGACATCAACCTTCAAGTCTCCTGTGTGACGGAACCCCTTCAAACTTCAGCGGGTCTCCGATCCACTGCGCAGCAGCAGTGTTCGGCTCCTTTGGAGCAGCATTCCTGATGGTCTTGGGATTCAGATCAAGCCCCGTTCTCCTCAGCCCGAAACCTGAAAGTGCTCGAATATCTGGTCCCGCTTTTGAACACCCTGCCAAAAATCCTGAAGCATTGATTCGAAATTTAACGTCTGCATGCGGACACCCCGCGCCTTGGCTGCCGGCTTTTTCATCGGAACGTCGGCCATCTCCTCTGGGTTCTTGTTGAGGGACTTATTTTAAGCTACCATAATAGGGATCTATCCCTATAATTACCCTAAACCCCATAAAGTTGGGCCTCCTTCCTTGGTTGCACCGAGCTTTCTGCTGGGCTTTATGGAGTCCATGTATACATTCCATGCAGAAAATACATCGGGCTTGAATCGTCTATATAGCAACAAGTGCAAGGCCCAGCATGGTATGTTGCTAAGGGTCCTTACATTAACGATCCTACTACGTAGTTAGCCTCTATACTATGCTGACGCTCCCACATGTTGTCCTCGTCTTCTTCGCCATCTTCTTCCATGGCTTCAGCCACCTTCGGTCAAAGCTTGCCCGGCTTACAGCTCCCAACTTCTGCTTGCGCTTTGCTCTGAGACGGTTTCGGCTTTGAGGGAGTCTAGCTTCCCAGCGGCTCCAAGGCAGGTTCCATTTCCAAACTTCAAGCCCCAGATTAGGAATTATAGCATCACTTGTACATGGGGTATAGGGGTAGCTTATTCTCGGGAAGGGTTTGTAAGGGATATAGGTGTTTCTGCGCTTCGGAAGCGTAGAACTCCCAGCACCTTCAAGCCCTCGTTGCCTCCTCGGGCTCGACCTCCACCGGCAGGGGGGCCTCGCCAGCCTCAAGTTTAAGGCTCCAGGCTGAAGGATCTAGGGTGTGGATGGGTCTAGGGGTTGAAGGTTTCGGGTTCAAGGTTTGAGGGTTTAGGGTGTATAGGGTTTAGAGGGTCTGGGGGTTTAGGGTTTCGGGTTGAAGGTTTGAGGGTTTAGGGTGTAGGTTTTAGAGGGGTCTTGGGGTTTAGGGTTGAGGGGTGAAGGGTTTATTGGGGTTAGGGTGCAGGGACTGGTTCGTTCAGACATCTAAGAGAAACACGGCACACCCCAAGCACGCACCTCGATTTCAATCCGACAGGTTCCCTCTTCAGCCGTTGTGGACATCTTAGGATCTACTCAGAACATATGAGTAACTCCTCAGTTGCAGGGTTTCGGAGCTTGTTTTCGCCGAGGGAGCGGGGGGGGGTGGTTAGGCTCATACCCCAAACCTAAACTGCCCTAAACCCTTTAAGCCCCAAACCCTAAACCCGTCCATAGTCTGCCCCTTCTTAAGCCTAAATCCGAAGCCCAAGCACGAGAAGCGCCTAGAATCGGGCACCAGAAGACATCCTACGGAAGATTCCAAATGGATGTAGATCCTTGGCTCACAAGCCCCGCTTCGACCTTGAAAGGAATTATCATGGGTCCTTATAGAGAACAGGCCCTTAGAAAGAGCTGGGGGGGTCTGTTGATCAAGGGTCTAGAGTATCCATCGGATCCCATTGCTCGAGCTTGGGAAACAACATGTTGTGAGCACCCTGCTCCTTCCTCCATAGATATGCCCAGAGCCTAAAGTCCGAACCGACATTGTCAACACGGTCTTCGGTGCCGAAAGCGCAACACCAGCCTCGCATGGACTTTATTCAATAACCAAGTTGACTTGCATGCAAGTCTGTGGCATAGCCAAGACCCCCAGACCTAACTCCAACCCCTGTATCCGCACTCGCATATCCTAAACATCAGCCATATGCGCCTTAGACTTGGCTTTTGCCTTGGCTTTGCTCTTTGCCTTGGCTTTGCCAACCGCCTGAAGCATGGGACATGCGCGGTGGGCAATGTCTGGATGGAAGGTTGAGGACCGACTGTGGAGAGTGGTTTGGGGATTTAATGGCAAGTCTAGACTGGGTGTTGAAACCGTTAAGCTCGAACACCCTGAGCCCAAGGACCCACACAGCCCCTGAGACCCACAAGAACCCGCCAAAGCCCAAGCCCTCAACTCTAAACCCCCAACGTAACCCAAGAATCCACTGTAGGACGGCCTTTTTCGGATCTTCTTCGGCAGCTTTCGGTGCCTGGAAAGGCATTTCGAGCCGGCTTGAACAGCAAAAGTGCCCAAAGCTGGCAGCTGGCGAAGCGGATTGATAACAGGTTCAGGGTGTCGGACCTCTGAAAGCTACCATAAGGTTTGGGCCTCGCGATTTGGAAAAGGGACGGGGATGGTTCTACAGGGTTCAGGGTTTGGGCGTTTGGGATTCAGAGCTTTGCTGCTCCAGAGACAGCAGTTGTCAGCAACAAAACCTTATCCTAATTGAACAGCGGTTATGGCACCTGCAGTTATGTGGCGGAATTGATCCTGAAACTAAACGATACCTGGATTCGCAGACCGCCGTAAAGCGCAAACCTTGCAGCACTACGCCGGAGCGCTCGCACCGAGAACAGCTGAGCCCGTCGCTGCAGCGGGTCTTTTCAGAGCTACCTCCTCCTCCTCTTCCTCCGCTTCCTACCACTTTTCAATCGTTTTGCTTTGATGGCGCATGGCTTCTTGTCTACGGTTCAAGTTCAAGTTTTTTGGTTCTACCCCAGGACGGGATATCGTGTTGAATCCGTGTGTTTGGGTTGCTCAGGCAGGGTTTCTATTTTCCGGCTATTCGGCTTAGATAACTGTGGTTTCGGGATACTGTGTTTAATTCCAGGTTCAGGGCTATAGGACTGCGGGCTTCGGGATTTAGCAGCCTATGAATGACAACCTCAAAAGCAGCAGCTTGTTGGAGCCATTACTGTAGTAGGGCTTTACAGGTCAAGCTTATTCTTGTTCCTGCGGGCAAACCCAGAGGCGGCACGTTGGCTCCCGGAGCCCCAAAAACAGCGTCAACCCTATAGGGTTTAGGGTTCGGGCCCTAATCCCTACAAAACTGTTAACCTCCGACCAAATCCCAAACTCTGTTGCAGGAGCTCCTACATTCTGGAAAAGGGGGGGTCGAGGGGGGGGGGGGTTGTTTAACATACGGCTTCCCTAGGCTTTTAATACAGGTCTTGTAGGGTTCAACAGCGCTTTTTGGTGCATTTCCTTCACCAGGGGGGGGGCTGGTTCAACTGGCTTGGTTAGGCTTGGTTATACTTAGGATCCTAATTTCTGGGTGTCTGTGTCGGGGTCCCTCGTCTTCTGAAACTCCACTCACATGGGTCGCTCCTCAAAACTATGGTCCCGTTTTGGGTACGTAAATAGTAAGTGCCGTTTTATCTCAGGTACCCAAAGAGGGACCCGAATTTTGACAACAACCCACATGCAGGTTTCATGGACGTACATGCCCGAAAGCTAACAACTTCTGGAGGGCTTCGTCACCTCGGAGGTTGAGGCTTTGAGGGCCTAGGGTCGAGGTGGTTTAGGGTCTCATTGTTGCAGTCGTAATTCGGCTAGAACCCGGAGAGACGGAGGATAGGATAAGTAAAGAACAAAAGTGCGCAAGTTCCAAACCACACTTCGAGACACGCGCGGCGGTTTCACGAAACACACAAAGCCTTTTAGTCGAAGGTCCCGAGCACCTTAAGCCCAAATCCGACAACCCGAAACCCACTCCTAAACCAACCACAACCCTGTGTAAATAGCTGTATTTATTCATACACATATACACGTATACGGGCATATCGAGTTGTGTAAATACTTGTTTCTGTACCCTCGTGTATAGAACCCTCATGATGCCCTGAGAAACCCTCAGCCCTGGATGGTCCTCTGCCGCTTCTGGTTCTTCTGCCTCCTGCGCTCGACAGGCCCTAAGACTAGCTCTGCCCATGTTGGGCTTTCGGGCTCGAGGTTCAGGGAAGACAACTATTTTGGAGTTTAGGGGGTTATGGGGGTTTGGGTTCAGGGTTTCTGCTCATCTTCCGCGTTAGGGCTCGAGCCGGCTTACAGGTGCGGGGGTTTCGAGAGCACGGTTGCCCGTAGCTGAAAACGAGGGTATAGGCCCTGTATATCTATCATAGAATTTACCTCTCTGAATCTGTCAATCAATCAGTCTGTCTGTCTGTTTGCGTGTTGTCTGTATTGTCTCTGTCTGTACATATGCATGCGAATACCGCGAAAAGTCGACTGTTGCCCACTTACATCGTGAACTCCTAATTACACCGCCTCGCCACGCAAGACCTAAGAGTTCCGGAAAGCCCCAATGAATAGGGTGGGCAGCTGCTCAAGGATTCCCTCATAGCACAGTGCCCTCGCTTTTGTGCTTGCGTGATCATCAGGGCAGGTATGACTTTACGGGCTTCAGCTAGAGGGGGAAACTTGGTGCTACAAGCATCTGGGCATCCCACGTCTGCGGGAATCGGTTTGCTCTGCTCGGAAAGACATGCCGCATCTGCATCATTCCATAATGAAGCCGTACGCAATCAATGCACAAGCCACAATAGGACAGCTGTGAGACAGAAACAAAGACTGCCATTTCGAAGTCGCACAAACACCATATGGAAGCCGTGAGCGCTGTCTGAAGTGCTACTATAACAGCCGCCCGCCAGATTGATAAATATTCCATTTCCGAGAGCTGCCCTCAACAAACCTGAGAACAACTCCCGCTTGTAGGCTCCATCGACGGATGCTGAGCATAAACACCGTGTCTTTTCTACAACTATGACGGAATCTTTACATGAACTCCTACTGCATGCCAAAAAGAGCACTTGTGAAAGTGCCCAAACAATTCCTGCGGCTTCAATGAGTATCACGGCAGTCAGTAAGGGTTTATGGTTTGGAGCACCCACAGAAGTTGTTCTTTGGAAACCTGGTAGATGCCCGAAAACCTACACCTTGAACCCTAAACTCTGAACTGACGCCTAGTCCGCAAGAAATCTAAACGGCCAAAATTATTTCATCAGCGAGCCATCTCTCATTGAGTCCTCTTCTTCCTCAGGCTCTGCCGGCTCCTCAGCGACCTGAAATGTGCGTCACACAAATGTGCACAGTCCTTGAAGTTTGGATCTCTAGACAAGATGCTTCGAGCAAGGACCCCAATAATGAGCCTAGGCCGATTGCGCTTCGGCCGAGTCTCGTGGAATTTTCCAGAGCTTCTAGACCATTGTGACCTTATCAGGCCCGCGAATAACCGCACTTAGAATGAGCGAAAGCTTAAGCACAAGCCTTTACCAACCTTTGTAAAACTCATGCCATCGAGTGTAGCCTACAAACTCACTGCACCGCAAGGCTTCCGTAAATGCGACTTAGGGAAGGCGCGATTTGACAGAAAGCGACTGCGGGCAATGTGTCGAATCCTCGCCCGTCAGCGGCAGAAAGCCCAAAGCTCGCAAAACTCCGCGGAGAAACAAGGATCTCGGCCGCAAGCTCAGGGCCTCATGCTGTGCTTATAATTAGCGCAGTGAAGCTCCTCGTCGGATGCAGCACCGATTCCAGCTCCTCACGCCTTGCACGGCCTGGTACTTGGTATGCGAATGGGGAAGCTGTCCCAGCCGCTCGCCCGCCCAAAAGGCTATCACCCCAAACTGTCCAAGCCACGAACCCACGTGTAGAGCACAAGTTCCCACGATCCGAACTCCTCCCAATTCCCATATAAGCCTTTCTAAACTCTAGGCTGCAGCCCTACACCCCAAACCCCTAAACAAGGCACTGCCCCAACACACGAAATCTCAAATCACGTGATAATTCAAACCTTCGTCAAACCTCACAATCCGTATCCAACCATAACTTCTCGAAGCCTTCGCTTTCGACTTCGCTTTTGCCTTACCCTTGGCTGCGGCCTGCAGCAAGGGCTTGATGTGTTTGGAGTTTAGAGGCTAGGCTTTTCTGAGTAGGGCCGAAGGAGTTTACCCTAAGCCCAACAAGGGGTTCAGCCTTTGGGTTCGGCATTGGAGGTTTACAGTAGCTTTCGAAGGGTAGCAAGGCCCAAAACAACTGCTGCCGCTTCAGCGACACCATCCTCCCTAAACTAAACCGCTACAGAAGGAGATTTAGGTTTTGGGATGTTCGCGGCCTAAGAAAGTTGAAATCTGGAGTAGAAGAAAGACAGTTGACACATGATTCTCCTCATACTCGTGAGATGAAGTTGGTGAAATCCAGATCCAAACGCATCCTATTGCGGTGTCTACTCCGTTCTACTCTCCCCAGCCCCGACTAAACTTCAGTTGTATTATTACTACGTTTGTTCTTGCAACAGTGATGTTAATATTTTCTTGCTATTATTGTTATTGTTATTGATACTGTTACTATTAGTACTGTTGTTATGCGTAGTTTTACCTTTACTGCTAATACTCCCATTATCAGTATTGTGGTTCTTATGGCTACAATTACCATTATCAATACTATTATCGTGGTTATTCTTATACGATTATCCTCCTGAGTAGAGTTTGCACAATAAGAACGACTTACACTATCGTCAATATTCTTACTAGGAAAAATAACTTTACTGTTTTTTTACAAGTACTGTGTCTATTGTGGTTGATATTGTTGTCTTCATCTTGACATTGATACTATCATGATTGGTATCCGAAATACAAAAGACTCTTGGTGTTCTGGTAATGGTTCATGACCATTAGTGCCATTGTTGTCTCCAACTCTTGCTCTTACCCTTGCTGGTGTCACTGCCGCTACTGCCACTGAGGCTACTGCTACTACGACGACTACTGCTACTACTGCTGCTGCTGCTGCTGCTACTACTACTACCACCACCACCACCACCACCACCACCACCACCACCACCACCACCACCACCACCACCACCACCACCACTACCACTGTACTACTATTGTTGTCATGATTCTTACGACTCTGTCAACGCCCCATACCCGAAACCATATGATGAAGCATAGTCGTAAATCATGATATCGCCACTTTGAGCCTTAGGGACCTAGGGAAGCTTAGAGTGACGCCTTAGCTGCAGATTTGGCGGCTGCAGGCTTCTTGAGGATCTCCTGCAGGTGGCAGAGAGGAACTGGGGCCCTGGCTTAGGGTTTAGGGCATAGGGTTTAGGTTAAGAGGGTTTAGGGATAAGGTTTTCGATTTAGGGCTCGGCGACCAGGGCATCCACGAGCTGCATAACTAGCCCAACATTCAGAGTTCGCCTCGCCTCCTGAAGCCTAACATCCTCCATAGCCGTTCTCTCCCCCAAGCCCTAAACCCTTACGGCCATCATCCGAAAGTCTCAAGCCCCAAAACGCCTTCATTTTTGAAATCCTGCTTAACGCCATCGCCAGCCCTACAAACCCCCCACTAAGAGCGCTGTAGATCTCCAAAGCATACAATGCCTCTCAGTTTGCTCCTCCTCCTGTTCTTCTGCTTCTTCCACCTCCATGTCCTCCGGCGCTTCCTCTGCAGGCTCCTTCACTGGCTGGCTTCCCCGGGGGCCCGCTTAGGGTTCTGGAGTTCTTTAATCCGTTGCTTAGACAGGTTCTACATGGGGTGTTAAGGGTTGCATTCGCGTCTTGAGGGTTTGGCTTTGGGGATTTGAGGTTACAGTCTTGGCTTTCAGAGTTGGGGTTTTCGATTTTTTGCTTGAGAATTCTTAGCGGCTGGGGCTGGTTCAACCCAAGACCCCTGAAACCCCGAAACGCCTGAAACCCTGAACCCCTCAGCCTGCAGCCCCAAACCCTGAACCATTACCCTGTAGAGAAAGGCCTAGAGCCATCTCTCACCGCCTACAGTTTGTCAAGCCAACCCCCAAGACAACAAAAATCAAACACCCTCTAGAAACTTCATGGAATATTGAAAGGAAAGGAGTCCTTTAAGGGTCTTGGGGATGTTTAGGGTCTAAGGTTTACGCTCAAAAGCCCCTCAAGCCTCAGTGGGAACCTGGATAGCTGCCCCTGTCGGGAACCCTTGGCAAACCTGTCCTCTGGCTCCTCCTCTGGAGGGGCGCTAGCCTAGGGAGCATCAGCAACGGATATGCGGTCACTGAATATTTAGAACCGGTTTTGGCGTGGCGTATGTGTGTGCGTGTGTCTATATATATATATATATATATATATGTATCTCTCTCTCTCTCTCTCTCTCTGTATACCGGATAGTCTGTGTACACCCTTCAAAGCTCTATGTCTTTCTGTATTGGGGGGGGGGGGGGGGCTGTTCAGAGTTAAGAAGGTGTCAGAGCCAGTCAAAGGTTTAGGCTTGGGGATGCTTCAGGCTTTCGCGAAAACCAACGAAAGGACCAATCTGAAACAAAAAGCAATACCCTATAAACCCTAAACTCTAAATCGTCCGAACCTAACCCCACCCAAACCCGAGGCAGACAAGGATCAAGGAGTTTGGGAATGAGGGATCGGAGCTCTGGAGTCTACATGCCCGGAATGTCTCTAGAAGACAAGCTTCGGGCTTTGCACTTCAGTCTGAAGAATCGTCGCTTAGGTTTGCAGTGGCGGAGCTTCAGGGGTTTAGGGTTGAGGGTGTCTGCTTTTTTGTGTGTATTGGTTTCTGGGTTTCCCCGACCGCAGGCATCTGAACTCCCAGTTTACCTTGCAAGACTTTTCCAATCAATCCCCCGACTTGCCCCTTCGTCTCAAGTCGATGCCAGCATTTTGCGAAGATCACGGTTCAGGGCGTTGAGTCTAGGTTCGGTTTGAGCAAATCTTACTCAGACCTTGCTGGCGGAGTCTGCCCTCCCGCCATTCTCGAAACCCCGAGTTGAACGAAAGCATCGCATCCAAGGGCCAGGCTGCCTTTGCTTTCGCCTTAGGCTGCCGCCTTGGTTGGGCGGACGCTGAATGCCGGATCCCGATAGCGGCCGATCCGATGGATAGGCGTATTATTGCTTACGGCAGAGCCCAGATGCTCTTAAACAATCCGGACTGTTTCAGAAACAGTCCGACACGATTTACTGCAATTGTTCTTGAGACCACCCAAACCGACCAAGGGCCCCATGAGCCCCATCCCCCGTCTTTTGAACCCGCAGCCGCCAAACCCTGCGTTTCGACTTTAGATTTGGGTTGAGAGGTTCGGGCTTAGTACTTTGGGTTTAGGGGGCTCGAAAACAGATGGAAACCACCAATGGGAAACGACTCACGCAAACATAACAAATGCATCCTAAAAGCACTCCGAGGAAATGTAAATATCAGTCAATAAACCTACTAAACTGGCCCTACATCCCAAACCCACAAATCCCAGATCTTCAACCCACAAATTGCGCGCACTTAACCGTACACTAAAACACTCACAAATCCAATCCAAGGTGCGCCGCAGGTCTCTTCATGGGTGCGGCCTGCTCGAAAGTCACTGCTCCAGGCGTAGTATTGAGACCTATAGAGGGGCTGTATGCATACCCCATGATACATTGCGGCAAGGGGGACCCGAATAACTACTCTAAGGGTTTCGCGGCTGTGTACTGTCTACACAACCGCATAAACTTACTGTATGTCTTTAGCTGCCCCTATGTTGCACCGATCAATGCCGCACTAACGTCCTCCCTAAGCCTTGTACACTGAAGACAAAATCCAGGATATTCTACCTATTGTACTTGGCCTTGGGGACAATCTTGGGGAATGTGGTCCTACAGACCATGCCATAGACGTATTCTTGCAATGAGCTTCGCATCGACGTTAGCTCGCCACAGGAGTTGGCAAAAAGTACATTCCCGCTTGCAATCCCTTGCATCAATGTTTACCACACGGCCACACGGGAGGCAAGAGGCAAGTAAGGCGCTGCATGTTCCTGTTCCTGTCGGGACATTCGTTCAAGACCGAAAAGAATGAGCATCCTGCCTTTTTTCGAGCGCTCTCAAACTATCTTTCCCCAACGGAGATAGGAGTTTCTCAAAATTACATCAAACTACGATCAGGAGACAATCGTACTGAACACTCAGACCTCGAATTTGTGCTGTCATGGCTCATGCCACATGTCAAAACAGGTGACTGTGTTGACGTGTTGGGGTGCTTGCTTTAAAGCACAAGCGACAGTGTCCCAAACCCCTAACCAAAACCAACGCCCAGAAATCCTGGAGCCCTATAAAGTGCAGAGCTCTGCACCTTAAGCCCCCAAGCCCTAAACACCTATACGTAAACGCATAGACTAGTGGGTATCCCTGATTTTGAGAATCTCACACAGCCATCTTTGCAGCTGTGAACATTGGCATCCCTGCGCATGAGTGTGGCTCTAGATTGGGATCAGTGTCCTGGGCCGGATCCACTCCCATCGCTGTCATGAAGTCTCCGTGCCACTCCAAGACTATACACCATACTTAATACTTCAAACGTAAACGCCTGCATCCTACCCCCCCTCCCCCCCACCCACCCAAAATCGCTAGACCTAAAAGTACAGAACGCCCGAACCCGAAGACGCGCACACACGGTTGCAGGCCTTTAAAAGTATGGAGATGCCAGCCTCCACGGAATGGCTTGAAACCGCCGCAGGCACGAAGCTTCTTGAGGTTATGAAAGGCCTTAAGGTTGAATTACAGCTGGGTGATATGATATATGTGTACATATATGTACACATATGTATATGTATATATATATATATAGTACCCCAAGATACTCTGTCTTGGCAAGGATTACTAATCCTTTACACTGCCACATGAGGGCGCTAGAATGCCTTTCTGACAACCATTTATAGCCCCGTCTGCCCTCCACCTCAAAGTTGCTGCATGTAATCGCCTCAGCGCCCCCGATGTGTTTAGACAAGATCAACGACCAGACTTCAAGACATTTAGGTCTAGCCAATGAGCTTTGATCGTCCACCTGCATCCCGAAAGCCGCGAAACCGTAAATCCTAATCCCAAAGACTAGTAGATATGGGCAGCCACGTTGGGCTGCAGCGTAGACTCTAAGGGTCTAAGATCATTCAGTTCAGGGTCTGGGAGTGCCGGTTGGACGCATTGCATAGTTTATCCGAAAGCCATTGCGCAAGGATTTTCTATCCCCTATTTCAACCGCTGGCCCGATCACGAAGAATCTTAAGTAATAAGCTATACATAGTATTCACTAACACCTGACGTGTTAGTGAACAAGGCGATACAGATCTGAAAGGCTTTCCTACCGAGGGCTACCAAGCCTTAATATAATGCTTCAGAAGGCCTGACAAAATCGTCTAGAACGCTAAAACTTTTAACTGTTAACACCTATCAAGCCTAACCAAACCCTAAACGAACCGTAAGCCGTGCTCTGTCAGTTCGACTTCAAGAATGCCGGAGGCGAGAGGAAACTGTAGACGTTGCCGTTGCCTCAGCGATGCACGCCTAATGCTTCAGGCTAAGAGTTCAAAGCAAGTAGCTCTACTGTATGGAGGATACTTGCACAAACCACAATACTCCTTGATAGTGTACTATGCCCTACGATGCAGGTATGTAGGACCCTCTGAGCCCTATCCCAAGACCTTTGCACATCACCAGCTGCCGGAAGTTGCTTCTGTCGTTCCAACGACAACAGAACCATCTGATCACACCAGAGCGACTAATGGTTCTTTGGTCTGCACGCTTTGCAAAGCTTCGGTGCAGAAAGAAAAAAACTCGGAAGAAGGATGCCGCTCTTATACTACTGTCAACAAACTAAGAGCCTCGCCGGCAACCCGGAACTATCCTTTACCACATACCCTACAAACTGGTAGGCTATGACCCCAGCAGGGTAGGTATAACCCCTAAGTAAGCAGGCTTGGCGATTTCCCGGTGCCTCCCCTGATCAGCACAAATAAAAGAAGCCAAGCGGCTGTGCTGGCAAAGGCGAACGCGATGTTGGGCTTTTTGACGCCGGCCGATCAGTTCGCAAACGTCCTGGGGCTGATTGCTCCCAACCCGACGGTTCATATACCGTACATGTACCTCGAGAGTTTCTTTGAAGGGTTCTGTAGGTTTCTAGAGGACTTGTTGGCCGGGTTTTGTGGAGTTTACTGGGGCTTACGAGGGCCTGTATAGGCCCTGTACCCATGTCATAGAAATGCTGTAATTACATAAGTATAGTTTATTTAGGAACATATTCATTCATTTTCAAGGTTGGTGCGTTCACCGGGCGGTTTTGGGGAAGTAGCGAAGCGTGCTACGGGATGGCTTTAGGGTTGCAGATTCTCGGGAAGTACCTGTCGCCCCAAACCTGTGCCCTTCGTTTCAGGGCAGAGCCCATATATACCGTATAGCAAACGGTATCATTCGTGCCACAGGTCGCATCCTGCAGAGTCCGAGAGAGAGAGATAGGGCCTTGTCCGGGTTTAAGGTCCCAGTCCCGGGTCTCGGGTCCCTGGAGGTTTTGGGATGTAGTGAAACAGCTCCGAACTCCGAATCAAGGTCTCTAAATATCGCACAGGCAGAGGCTATACGCTGTACGTCCGGAAACCGCACTGGATATTGCTCATCGAATCTGAACCAGATCTTGCAAGAGATCGCCCCTTCTGCCGCACAGGCATAGGTCAAAACGAGTCAGAACGACAAGCAAAGCTGAAGTTCAAAACAAGGATTGCATTCAACAATGCTTGTTTTCTGGTTGATGCCTCCAATTTTATGGGTTCGTTTCGGTTGCAGTGTCAAGCCGCTGCCGGGCTGTACGCTGGTGTGAGCCGTATCTTGCTCAAATCGTTAGCTTTCTAGGACTGGTGGGGGTTATGGGTTATAGGGGTTAAATAGGGTGAATTACAGGTTTGGGGTTTAGGGTTTACGGTCACAGCCAGCCTCGACCATCTGCGTGTTCAACCTCGGCTCTCTCGGGAATGAAGCACTAGTTCAGCTGATGCTAATATGTCAAACAACTAGGCGTAGGGTTTAGTTGCCAAGCCGTCTAAGTATGGAAGAAACTTGCAGAAATCATGGTCACTGTTTCTGAATGGAGGAGCTCCATCTAGGTCTATGCGATATGTAGGTACTTCGGATTCTCTGGGATGTGGATTCGAGTCCAAGGCCTGATGAAACCCACTCCCTAAGCGACATGCAATTGCGAATTCGCTAAGACACCCGAAACCCTAAACCCAAGCCCTACAAGGACAGGCGACTTGAAGAAGAGATGGTCCACACTGTTTCCACGCTCTGACAAGCCGTCAGTTCCGAAGCACCGAAAACGTGAAACAATTTCGAGTCGAGTCAGAGTCTAAACCCGGCCTGCAGCCCACGACAACAGCATTGTCAGGCTTTGACTGCTAGGGAACACGATACAACCGAAGAGCCTTCAACAAAACACTGAACTACAGGGAAATTATTGCACAGAAATTAATGCACAGAGTCTGGTTTGGGGTGTATTACAGTGCGCTTCTTTCGGCTATCAGGGGATACAGTTGTCAACTATCCAGACCTCCAGGAGCTACCCGTAAGTCATTCCCGAATGGTCAACAAACGGGCCTGTGCAAGTGCTTGGGAGTTTCACGACACCCAGCACCCCAATCCTTGAAAACCCCGGGAAGCCTTGGCCTTAGCTGTTGCTCGAACCAACTACTGAAGCTACTGCAAAGGGTTACATCCGAACTTCGAAAGGCTCTGTTTCACTGAAACGCTGCAAGGCCCATGAGCTCCACATGTAATACAGGGGCCTTAATATTTAAGTAGAGCATCCTTTGGGGGCATGCTTTACTATAGCTAAGAGTGAGGACCCCACAAAAACATAGCATTGTAATTGTTTGCCCCCCTAAATGAGCCCGCCAACCACAACTACAACTTCACTCTACCTCATAACTTTAACCATGAGCAAGTTATGACCCGTGATAGTGGGATGCAGCGCTTACACATGAGGAAATCGGGGCCACAGGCACGCCGTTAGGAGAGGGCTTTGGGTTTGGATGGTTCTGATGATATATAGGTCGTGTATACACTCCCACACACAAACAACAGTTGGCTAAAGAGTAGAAAGCCAAACAAAAGAGCATGTAGTTGGATCCACAGGTCTGCTCAGGAAAACGGGGGTGTCGACCTGCCGTACCTGCCTACATCTCATCTGACCGCCAAGACACATGAAGTAGTTGTGGCGCAGCGCGTGGACGTTCCTCCGTCTGTGCTCGAATTGGAAGTGAGCCCCTAATCCTAAATAAAAATCGGACACTCCAGTCTAGAAAACTAGGTAAACCTTGAACCCAGGTAAATCAGTACTGTTCTCCCCGCGCCATCCCTGCTCAATTGTACACAGAATTACCACCGACCTCCTAGTCCAAATTGCTGCGGCGCCTTAGACCCGCAGAATCACAACCCTGTGGAACCTGCCAGAAAACTGCTCGCACAGTCCCTACGCAGATAAAACCCAGATCCACCCAGGATCTGATCGGCTTTTGTTGGGTGGGAAGTTCGTGTGAGTTTGGTGAACAATGCCCGCCCTAAAGGAACCTTGCGTATCCTTGCAGGAATTTGCTGCAGAGAGTGAGGTAGAGGGAGGGAGGGAGACAGGAAGAGTCTGAGAGAGAGACAGACAGGCAGAGAGAGAGAGAGAGAGAGAGAGAGAGAGACAGAGGGAGTGTGTGTGTGTGTGAAGAAACAGCCGAAACGGAGGCCTCACACAGCACTGGCCGTTTGACATCCCACACTGCTCGGAATTGCTGAACTGCTACTATGGTGTGGGGCAATATCCCCAAATCAACTGCGCAGGAGCCTGTTGGATGGGTGCAATAGACCCAACCCAGGCTTAGACGCCTCCCGACCCGACACGAGGAGCAGGAGGTTTCTACCAAAGGGGAGCACTTAGGCTTTGGGGTTTAGGGCTACCTTATTTGATCGTATTTGGATTGAGGTTGGGTTTTGCGTTTCGGGTTTCGGGTTAGGGGATACTTGTTGCTGCCAAGCCACTGCTCGATGTTTGAACAATCGATAATCTCGATCGTCCCGTCACCTTGCCAGGAGGATCCATAAACGTCCCACTCCACATCATGCACTCAATTTGCAAGGATCTTTGCTGCAAACTGCGGTCCGCGACCAGGCACCGATGCTAAAGGGAGTTGGTCGAGCAATGCATGATTTCTAAAGCATGCGCCATGCCAGAAGCCTTGCACTAGCAATTTTAGGGTTTTGAGTCAGTGTTCTAACCTAAGTATCGAAATGCTACACCCCAAAACAGGTTGTAATTCTTGTCTGCCTGTCTTCCGTGCAACCCTTCTGAAACGTCCAACTCTTTTCATGCAGGCGAATCAGAACACAAAACCGTCTGTCGTAGGAGTAGACATACCCCACTTAGGGCTGATCAGGACTAGCAAGTATAGCCTTATGGGAGATCGAACTGAGGACCCAAATTTTGGCTGGAAAGTGCCTTTGAATGCCAGGCATCTTTGCCATTGGGTCTGTTTGGACAGTATAGGGTTCACCCAAAACCCTGAACCTACAAAAGCCGCAGTGATTCATGAGAGTCCTGGTCGAGGCTAGATCGGGTTCCACTGAATATACCCCGGATTTTACAAGCGTGGCCTGCTTACCCTGCTTGTCTTACCGAGAGCCCTGTCCATAAACCAGGTTACACAGGTAAACCGGTAAGCCCTAATAGCCCTAATGTAGATACCCCTAACCCTAAACCTTATAACGCTACGACTCAGGGTCTAACGCCACAACTCAAGGATTCAATCCCCTTGGGCAAAACCGCGGGGCCTTGTACACGCGGAGGGTGGAGCATCTGGCTGAGTTGATGGCCCAGTCCTTTCAGGTTTCTGGCTTCAGGGTTTAGGGTTTAGGATATGTAGCTTAGGGGAGTTTTTGCCATTCAGGAAGTATGTTTAGGAACATTGGCCACAAGTGTTGCCAACCCTAAGCAGCCCTGATGCAGGTTTCTTCTAGCCCTGAGCCACCTTCCCTTTTTATCAAATACAACAAGCCTCTGCTAGAAGATGTCACTGAGGAGGACCCGAACCCTCAGAAATCCAAAGCCTTGCATTGTCTCTGCAAGAGTACCGCACTGCAAACACAACACTGCCATGAAACCTTTCTGCATGCTCCTTGCAGCACCCGCCACGTTGCCCTCCGACTCACCACAACAGCCCCAAAGCTTTCTAGAGTAATGCAGGAACCTGATTAAGAAACCCTGGTCCTGTAGCCCCCAAACATCCAATTCATAAAGAACCGAATACCGACCCAAGGTTTCGTGTAATCAGGTTAGGTATTTAGGCCCAACAGCCGCGGAATGTGAGTTACCGAGTTACCGTCCGAAAAGGGCTGGCTCCTGATAATACTCGGCTCCGCGTGGTTTGCGTGGCGCTGACTCCATCCAGGGTGTGCCTGAAACTTGTAAGATGTTGTTGCTTCGCTCCGTCATTCCTGCCTGTCGATCTCTCTAAGACTCTAAAACCACCTTATGCACCCATGGTCTCGCTGGCTGTTTCTCTCTCTCTTTCTCTCTCTCTCTCTCTCTCTCTCTCTCTCTCTCTCTTTCTCTCTCTCTTTCGGTCTTTTTATCTGTCCCTCTCTCCCTCCCAAATCGGTGCAGACCTGGGTGTTTGTGTAGGTGTCTTTCTGAAGTTGTCTGCTGTTGCGGTTGACATTATTCCTCGTGTTTGTGATGGCGGCAGTGTTATTTTGCTTGTCGCTCCGGGGTTGAAGCCCGTTCGAAAACACCCTCGAGCCTTCCCAGAGCCACGTAGACCCGCCATCCCACAACTCTGAGCGGCTTGGTGAAATCTGCAATAAATGTATGATGAACACATCACCGGAAAAGCGTGCTAAAAGAACTACCATAACCCACTTTTTCTGAAGGCTTCCTACAAAGTCTACACAGGGATTTATTTAGACACTTTCAGGTGGACCTTATTTCCATCTGAAAATGTCAAGACCCTTGCCCTACGACTCCTCGACCCGCCTTCGTCGCATTCCCCGGCTGCTGCCGCCTTGGTCGCACTGACTAGTGCTGCAAAGAGAGCACAAAAAAGGTTTCGATTTCTTCAGTTCGGGATTTCGAGCGCGCGGCTTTAGGGTCGGGCATTTCGGCTCGCTGTCGAGATGTCACGGAGAAGGCTTGGGGTTCATAAGCTTGCAAGGATCAAGCTGTTCGGTTTAAGATGAGTTCTACCTCTGCGACAAGTCTCTTCTGAGATGAGAACAACCCAAAAACAATCAAGGCAATGTTTAATCCTACTCGACTCAGCGAAAGAACCGTAGCAATATTTGATCTTTGTAGTCAGTGCATGGGATTGCATGGGCATGTGACACAGTCCCATTGCAGCCCCTCTGCGGACCGTTTCGGGCTCATCCTCCGGAGGTGGCCCTTGAAGTGAACAAGCCAGATGCTGAAACGAAGAGCCAAGTTTCGGTTGCAGGATCGCAGGGACTGAGCATGTAGGATGTTTATGTAAGCAGGATGTAAGGCTCAGTGGCTTTGCTTAGGGTGTCAAGGGTTGACCCCGAGTAATAACATAAACGAGCATCTACAACGAACACCTGAACACGGGCCCATGCACCCATCCGAAAGTCTTATCAACCAGACGCCCGTCTTAGAGCACCATACCCCAAAGCAATACAAAACGGGTTATAATCTTCTTCAGAGAGATCCCTCGAGCCCTAAACCTTCTAGAAGAGGCCCCAAAGACATCCATAATATGGGCGATCCAGAATTCAGAGTTGACAAGTTAAAGCTTTTGTACTAACAATGTCTTAGGAAAGCCTGGGCAACAGTATACTACTTATCGCATCTCAAATAGATTCCGCCGAGAAGCTATGTAGAATTGTCCGGACATCCTGCTCTTCCAAGAAGAGTGGCTGAACCTTACTCATTTGGGGCTCAGGTGTTACAGTTAAAGCTTTGGCCGTAGTTCATAAGGGTCATGTTGTAGTTGTTAGTGGTGATAGTCACGACAGCTACTTGGAAGCATGGGTTAGGCTGGGTTAGGGTGCCACAAAGAATCGGCCATGGTTCCTGTTCTGTACAACCGTGTTCACACAGCAGAATGCCAAGTAACTCCAGATGTTTAGCCGCAGTGAAGACGTCAAAAGTTTCAACAGAGCTTCTGAGTCCTTGGAAAGACCGTTGCATACCCCCTGAACCCAGCTGTCGCTCGTTCGCCCTCGACACATAACCGGGCCAAAGGTTCACCACGACACATCTGGGCCAGGGCTTTTGGGATCCCTACTGGGCCAGTGCCCAATTGGCTGCAATGGGATCGAGCTAGGTAGGGTCATCATAAGGAAGAGTCCGCAGTGTAAGGGGACCTTAGCCCTACACCCTCAACCACAAACCCTAAAACCTAATTAAGTCCTAAAACCTCAACCTTAAACTCTAAAACCTCAACCTTACACCTACCTACCTTCATCCCACCCGTTGCGGTCTCCGAACAGTTCCGCCGTAGAAGCTCAACAAAGCTCAGGGGCTCCGCGTGCTTAGAGCCAAGAGTCACAACAACGACAGCGGTCAATATCAACTGTACTAGAAGCAATACTAATTTCAGTAGCATTAATCATCACGATAAAAGCATGATGATAGAGACGGTGCAGGAAGAAGTAAACACAATGAATTAATGTTTCATTCTGTGATTGCAAGCTATAGTAATGAATCTCTAGCCGTACTTGTATGTATGCAATTAGGCCCTTTCCGGATCCCTGCAGAGTCTCGGGGAAACCCAGGACTGAAATTTGACACATCTGCGATTTCGGGTGTGTGACCTTGAGGGCTTGGGGTTCAAGGATGTACACGAGGATTTAAGAGTTTCAGGGTATAGGGTTAAGGGCTTTCGGATTCAGGGTGTCGGGGTCGAGGATGAGGGGCTGGTCTTAGATCAATGTGCCTCATGTTGCAAGGTGGCCCCGAAGGCCTAGTGCCTTAGATAGACAAATGGTTACTGAGCCCCGTATCTTCAAGGGAAGTAGTAATTAACCTGAAACTTAATACCAATGTGCCTTATACATGGCCGTTTCAACAATACAATTTCGCAGTACCGCGCCGAACCGTTACCGCACCGCACCGAACCGCGCAGCAATGTATCGTACCGAAAACAACCGCCACCCTCTACCCCACCTCCACCCCCGCCCCTCCCCTCCACCTCCACCTGCACTCCTCCACTCCACCTCCCACCCCATCTCCCCCCTCCACCTCACCTCCATGAGCGGTGGAGGGCTGGAGGGTGGGCATACGGTACCGCACAGAACCGTGAGCCTGCAATACCGCGCAATACATACCGCAACACACCGCAGAAAGGCAGTACCGCACCGTATCGATATTAAACAGCCATGCTTATATGGACGGTTTTGCTGTATCAAAGGCCCACGGCTGTGTCTGGGGGCTCGCCGCCAAAGTAATTTATTCGCGTACGGCAGTCGTAGATGACGGCTACCCCGAAGGGGTGGGGAGGGCGGGAAGGACCAGAGTACCTGGGCTGGTGTTCCGGCGAGAAGAAAACGCCTTCTCTGGTCTGGCTGTGCAAGGCTGAGTGGGGGGCAGGGTCAGTGCTGCTGGAGGCCGGCTCCGGGGCTGGTTGCGGACTTTTGGCGGCAGGGGCTTCCGCCTGCTTGGGAGCTGGGGCTTCCTCTGGATTAGTGCTGAAGCGTCTAGCTTATGAGACATGCGCTCACGATGTGCAACGAACCGACTTGGTGCGATACTGCCACCTCTACTGCTACCAGAACTGCACTGCAGCAGTGCAGCTAGTGCCAGCAGACATGTTACTCCCGCTGCGACGACAGTGACCAGTGACCAGTAACACATGTCACACCAGGGTGTGTGCGCATGTAATCAAAACTCGATCACTTTGAGCTTCCTAGAAAGAGGATGTGAGACTCCAACAATGTAGCCCAAACGGCGACCAATTTTCCATTCATTCCACAATTCAGTACTTGTGAACCGCTATGATACTACTTTTTTACAATTATCAGAAACAACCGGCCCAGCTTCCGAAAATCACATAAGGCCCTGGCCGTCGTCCCGAGAAGCTTTCTGCGGTGAAAGCCCTTACACGAGAGGCCATTGCCTGGATAGGTTGCGCTGGAGATCCGCTGCAACTTTAGAACAAATACTTTCTACATCCTCTTTGCTTTCTTTCGTTTGGGGGGATACAAGGCTTCACTTGCAAAGGTTCTTGTACCTTCTCTTTGCATGATATTGTAGACATAGACATCTTACCATACGTATGTACTGTAGAAACAGACAGAACGCTAGCAAGCTAGCTAGATAGCCCACATTCACATAAACTCTCACACACGCACATGTTGCACTGTATGTAACTATCTGTGTGTATACCCTTGTGCTGCTGTTGTTGGTGCCGTTGATGACATTCGTATCGTCGTCGTTGTTGCTGTTGTTGATGCATTGGTGGCCGCTGTTGCTGTTGCTGTGTTGTTGCTGTTATTCCTGTTGCAAGGGAGTGGGAGTCAACACCTGAAGAATGACCAGGAGCTGTAATCGTAAGCTTCGCAATGCTTTCACAGAATGAATGTGCTCCGACAGTGTTGGTGCAGAAAGTAAAAGGCACGGCCGTAGCTGCACAGTCATCTGATCTAGTATGCAGATAGTTCTCCTACAGACTCTCGGTACTGCCGACAAATACTGCATAACGCGGATGTGCCGCGTAGTACTAGTCGCTGTCGTAGTGATGACGGGAAACAGTATTTCAAGCGAGGACAGCTGTCGGCTCGTCGTAGTAGTCGTACTGGTGCTGGTGGTAGTCGGAATCATGATGCCAAACCCGTTGTCGTCGTCGCCGCAGTCAATGGACACGGTAGTATGGGCGGTCGAACAACAAGCATATACTCGGCAGAATTCATGGCAGCAGCAATACTCAATCGGAAGGAAAACAATAAGAACGCCAGCTGCAATCACTCTCATTCTCTGCAGCTACTCGTCGCGATTTTTTGCTGGTATCGAGGCGGGACAACCAGAGTTGCCGACAGTGGACCAATCGAAGCAGCGGTGGACCGAACAGGTGGCAGAGACAAGGCCTTGCAAATCCAGCAAACCCGTCAGATCAGACCATCGCCTGCCCTAAACCCCTCAACCTATACCTGTAATTAGGAAACTCCTCAACCCTGAACCCAAAACCCTAACCTTGAGTTGTCCTGCCATTTGATCCAAGCGGCTGAGTCTGCGAACAACGCCGCTCCAGAAGAGAGCGCCATCGTTACTGTCCTCGGCGCATGGCTGCGTGGTTCATATGGGTGACCTGGGAATGAGGCTTACTGCCGCAAAGATACGCATGTGCGTATATAATTATATGTAGAGAAACTTTGCAGCATGGCTGGTTCATCCTTGAGGCTTGCTTTCGGCAAAGCTATCTAAGTCGGGCTTCGGTTCTGTGGGATGGGACCAGTCACTGCCTTCATGTTCTGCTTCCGCTTCAGACGGTCTTGCCCCTGCGTGACTTTACGGCTTTCGGCCCCTTCGGGGTCCCCGAAGGAGTACTGTAGGGACGTTAGCAATCAGAATGGGGTTTGGGGGCATGTGATATACTATAGTTGCAGAAAGGAACCTCCAAAACCCTATTCTAATTACAAAGGCCCCTACATTGCACCCCAAACCCAACACCCCAACTCTAAACCCTTAAACCCTAAACCCTGAAGCCTAGTACAGTTCGCCATCAAAGGGATGTGAACAGTGACGCAACGGCCCAGGTGTCGCTTGGGATTCGAGGCTTGCTGGCGAAGGCCAGATCTCTGAGGATCCCCGACAATCTTTGCGGGCTTAGGGTTTATAAGGGTTTAGGGTTCGGGTCTAGGGGTTTGGGGTGTAGGGGCCAGTGTAGTACCGAAGCGTTTAATCGCTGAAGCATAGTCTCTTACGGGTGCTTGCCGGCAGGGACATCAGAGTCGTCAGAGCAGTCAACTTCTCGCTTTTGTGATCGCCCGGTGCATGTAGTTGGAACCGTGTAGTGTGGGGCGGTTTTGGCAAATCGTCATCATGCACGCCTCAGCTAACATCCACAGAGAGACTACAACAAAGCACTCAAACGCAGGCAGGCGGCGTTGTACGCCGTGAAATGCTCGGCAGAATGCATGATGTCCTAGGCACAGCAGGCTGTTCGGGTGTTGTGGGTTTCGGGTGAACCCCGAGCTGCGCTTCACATGACCACTCATGTTTCGAGCGCTACGGCACTCAGAAAATTGTCGGTGCCTTGATACACTCCAAAAGTGTTGAAGCCCGCAAACTCAACTGATTCAGGCACGACATGGTCTATACACGTATAGTAGGATCCCTAGGAAGTAGTGTTGGCAATTGGTCAAGCGCTAGGGCATGATTTTGGGTGCAATTGGAAGCCCTGAGGGATGCCGTGCACGATCAGTGATACACTGAGAAAACCGCAACCAGGGAAGTATAGTATAAATAACAACAATACTTGTACTTAAAGATAGATAGATATATATATATATATATATGGTATTGAGCTGAAGGCTTTGAGGATTTGCCATCATTGCGTGGATGTCAGCCGACAGCTGGCACTGTAGCGGTCTCGATTCAAAACCCACTCAGAACCCTTATCCGACACCTGCACCGAAAAACCCATCTGCTACCCAAACCCAGAACCACACATCTCGGAACCTAGACCCTGCACTCCACAAGCCCCCCAAAAAACGACCACAGCAGACCAAGGGGTGCGACGGTGCGACTCCGACATTCTCAAACCGTCAGTCCGAATCAACAGCGATAGCCTCTCTTCTTCAGCGATAGCTGTCTTAACAATCAGCGATGGTCTAGGCTGAGAAAGTGCTGTCCTTGGATCGTGCTTTAGGCTGTCGCATCTTCGGGCTTATAAAGGCCTTCCGCCAAGACGTCAAGGAACCGGGAGGAGTCTTTTGACGGTGTCCAGCCTCGGCATGGGTTGGTGGCATCGGCAGCATTCAAAACCTAACAATGGGGATTTGGAAACTGGAATAGGCTTGCTTTGAGGGTTCCTTTTTTTTTGGGAAAGGGACTAAGGGTTGAAACAAAGGTCACTAGAAAAAAAATAGAATGGGGCTCGTTTAAGTTGCCTAGCTGGTATCAAGGGGGTTTATACTTCGGGTCTTTTCAGCTTCTGAAACTCCTGTATAGAGAGCTGGATAGATGGGGTGTTGGTACCCAGTAGGATCGTGCTAAGTTCGTCCGGACAACTATACTCACCATTGCCTAAACAGGCCCGCAAACTCCAAGAGTCAACGAGACCATAAAAGACCACCAGAACATGGCCGAGATGCTGCCCCCTGATGCTGGTGTGATTCTGGATGCGTCCCCCGAAATACAGGCGGATTCAGGAGGATTCTGGAGCACGAGCAAAATGCTTTCCACAGTGCCGGAGCGACTCGGCAGGACGGGCAACATGCTAGATACAGGCCCAGGCGCGACTACCATTACACCCACCTTTAGAACCCCACCGTGCGTAGCACAGTTTTCGGGGAAATTACAAGCTAAACCCTACTCAACCCTGAACCCGAAACTAAACCCTAAATCTTGAAAAGACCCAAGCCGGGCTGCTCCACGTCCGGATTGAGCATCGTCAGCGTCGCCATGTGCAGGCTCAGGTCTTGCGTCCCGAAGTGTCCTGGGCTCATATCTCGAATCCGTTTAACACTCCAAGGAGCCCAAAGTAGGTACGTGCTGTTTAAAAGACTTTAAACATCTTTAGACCTCAAAGTAGGTACTGCTTGCATGCTTGGAGATCGTTTTGAGATTGTGCAGCGGTCGAGGGAACCACTTCGCATTGAGTCTGGGTCGCTCTAGGTCTTTATACCGTACCTCTACACCCGGTGCGATGCTCGAAGCCCTAAATCCAAATCACTGATGTTAAGGGTTGAGGATTCAGGGTTTTCGAGACAAGGCTGGCTGGGGCTTTGGGGTAGACCTGGCAAACCTAAACAAACCGCTCAAGCCGAGGTCCCGCTTAAATAATGACTCCCGGAACCCATCCACACGCAAAGCCTTGAAGAAAGCCACCTCATACCCCAAACCGGAATATGAGCCTGACAACCCAAAAACCCTAGAAGGACAACGTGCCCAGCATTGCACAACATCCCCGTGTCTGGGCACTTTACTAATCCAACCACTAAACTCAACTCGAAAGGTCTCCGAACATCCGCCTGCTAAAGTCCAAGTTTGAAACTCCACTTATAATATAGAATGTGTGGACATGACAGATAACATAGTATTGTTTGATGTGCAGCATAAGACTTAATGTAACACCTCTACAAAACTGCCCAAAATGTTTCAGGGCCAGCCACGTGAATGCTTGGGAATCCACCGTGGCCGTTTCGTTGAGTTGTTGTTCTCGGCGGCACCCCGACCGGCCGCCACATCAGGCCTTTCTAAGAGCTTTTCCCGTTTGATATAAAAGAGTGTTGGGGTTTTAGTGTTTAGGATTTGGGGTGTAGGATTTAGGGATTAGGGTATGTATGTATGAAGTGTCTTACACGCATTTTTTGCAGTCGCTCCTAAAGATTTTGTCAGAGGCTTTTTATAAGGCTGGCAAAGGCCTTTGCGTGAAATTGAAAGATGCAAGCATCAATAAGCTCACAGATCATAAGTCGCTTCAGCTTCGTGACTATACGCTTCATCAATCATTAGTTAGACGAGCCGACCCCAAATACCTATAGTATTAGGGGCCTCAGATGGTGTAGTCGGGCTTGAGGTGTCTAAAGCAAGCCTTTCAGGGTTTTGAACCTCGGACTGCAAGGTTCTAAGCAGCGGCAGCCCTAACCGCATGTGTTGAAGAGCAACCTCTTGACCTGCAGGGTAGCTAACTGTGGCTGCAGGTGTCCACTATGTTACGGGCTTCGGGATTTAATCAAAGCTATACTTCAAATGTCATTGCTGATAGTCTGTCGGGTCTGGGGCTGCAGATCGGTTCTCCGCAGTTTAACTTCGGGGTCTCAAGGTTCAGGGCCGCTTAGGGTTTACAAGGTTTCACGGGGTTATTGGAATCTGGAAGGCTTTGGGCTTCGGGAGCCTATTTGAGGCTCTGGCGGAGCAGCACTGGGGAATTTCTCCCAAACCTGCGAAGCCGCAATCTATATACGGACCCACACACCCTCACCTGGCCACAAATCCACAAGCCCTTGGCCTCTTCCGTCGCGACGGCATGAAGCACTCTGCAATGGCAGACCAGTTTGTAAAGAGAAACCTGAAGAGGAACAGAAAGAGTTCCACCCCAGGTGCAAGTTCAAGGCTAATGGCGATTGGTCAAATGCAGCTGGCCATGGGTCTCTTTGTCGCTCTAACTGCCTCTCTCTGTGTATGTGCGCAGAAGTACATACAAATAAATGGATAACAAAAATGTGTGTACACGGCACATTCTAGGTGTCGATTTCAACAGTCCCCAAACACTTTTTTGCAAGGTTTCTATGTTAAGAAATCAGGGAAATGCAAACCATCCCAACTCGATACCGAGTATTGGCAAGCATGAAGGCCGCTCTGCAACCGATGCGAAAGGAGCTTACGAGAATTCTCACTGCACCAGAACCTGCACCAAAAACTAGGCAACACCCCTCTCACTCATGCTTGAAACTCCCCGGATGATTCCAAAACTTAATGAGAAGACTTTCTTCGTAGCTAGCGCGGAAGTTTAGTCGAGGTTCAGGCTCGTCGGATCCTGTCATTCAAGAAGGCAGCCGGGCCTAGTTACGAGCGAGAACCCTACACCCTCAAAACCAAAGCCCAAACCAGAAATCTCATAGCTTGGGTACTGCCCACATACACTAGCAGTATGCAACAGTCTTGAAGTCAGGGTACTGTTCAGGGAGGTACATATCTTTATTGTAAATGCTACTGAATGGGGGCAGTCTCCGACTCGTACCTTCAACCTGATTACCCCGACCCCAAAGCTCATTCCTGTAGCAACCGTGCTGCTCGGCTCCACAGGAGTGAGTCAGGATGTGCACCTGGCAGGTGGCATGTGCAACCCTTCATGAGGCGGTATACTCCAATAACTGGATATTGCAGACACTGCAAAAACAGCGGCCTGTGCATAAATACCTGCGTATCTACGTACAAAATCAAAGACACACAGACTTGCGACAACCAACTTACCTATCTACCTACGTACAAACGACACCCACAACTACATACCTACACCTACATAGCTGCCTACCACTCCAGAACCTACATACTCACATACATACATACATACTTTTATGTATATCTGTAATTACACATATACCTACATAGCTATACACGAAGAAGTATACAAATTTGCAGCTCGAAAAGAAATATGAACGGGGGCGATAGTCATGGGCGAATCTGAAGTAAAGACAGAACCCAAGGCTTCGAGACAACGCCGAGAAGAGGTCATTCAACATCCCTGTGAACAACGCAAACCCTACAGCAAGTGCCACTCACGTTTCAACCCAAAACCAAGACCCCAAACCTAGACACGCAAGCAAACAAGAAGATGACACAAACCCCTAGCTGGAACAAAACTTTGGATTCACATGCACACGACGACCAATCAACCAAACAACCAAACAAACAAACACGCATGAAAGAGTGTACTTGTGTGTCTGCATGCAGGTATGCATGCATGTATGTACGTATCTATGTATGTGCATATAAATAGATCTCTCTATAGACATATATATATATATATATGTGTGCAAGAGTTTTATATTTGTAAGTAGTATGGATATACACACGGTTGTGTATCTATAACAGTCTCAGTGCTTTATATTCGCATCTATATTGAAAACCGGCATCTACATGTCCTGCGCCTCGCTGAAGTGCCCCCGGAGGCTTCGAAGGAACTCGGAAAGCTCGGACCCATAGTCCTTCAGGGATTAGGGCAGTTAGGGGATTGGGGTTTAGGGTTGCAAGCGTTTAGGGTTCAGGGGCTTAGAGATTCGGGGGCTTAGGGGTTTAGGGGGTTCGGGTTGGGGATTCAGGGTTTAGGGGCTTAGGGTTTTGGGCTTTAAGATTTGAGGGCTAGAGCTTAGAAAGCGTAGGGTCCAACAACGCAAACTCTAAACCAACAGTCATGGTTAACCGGAATCTTATGGTCTTCTTCTTGCAATAAACCGAAGAACAACACGCAGCCCAGTACCGTACTTTCGGAGCCATATAATGATCACAGTAGTGTCTTGCCGATGAGTATAGCGAACTGAGGGACTATTAGGGGATACTGTTCGTAAGTAGCTGGCGGACTTCTACGTCAAGTTCTACTTGACTGTATACCACTACTCCGTAACGTAGTTATTGTACCGTATACAAAACCCTACAATTTGCTCCGACTATTTCAGGCTTCTATCAATATTATGGGTTCGTGTCCTTGAAATGCGCCTTGGCCTGGAAATAAGACAGTTCCGTGCCTGCGCCCGGAATGAGGGCTTTACGGCGTAGGGTTGAGGTAAGATTGGTGCAAGGCTTGAACCGTTGGAGTAGAGCTGTGGGGACTTCCTGGGTCCTGTAGCAATGTCGAAGTTAACCGGTAGGTCCGGGGTGATTGTGCAAGAGTGTTGCTTAGAATGGCTAGAGTGACTAGAGCAATTGGTTCGGGGTTCTGGACAAGCTTGCTTTGACATGGCTGATTGAAGTTATGCTTCGTATGACAAACGAAAAGTAACGAAAAGCACATGCTTGCTGTCACGGGAGTCTCAATGTGGTGTGTATGCATGTGCTGCTGGTGCTGAGATATGAGCCGCAACCGAAACCGCCGAAAGCGCCACCCGCCTACCCAAGCCGGCTCAACCCTAATTCAACTTGACCCCAACATTTGAGACCCTGTAACCACCCGAGGGCTAACTTTGAAGAAATCAACTTCTACACCGCTTAATCTGAACAACGAGATATGCATGCACACAGCCCTGCTGAATAGACTTCACCAGGCTTCCAGGAGCTACGCCAAAAAACTTGGAATCGACCCGGAATGCGGAACCCGAAAGCACAACCCTCGGCTTCTGTGGGAGTTTCCCAGAACTAGGGGTACCTTATTTTGGAGTCGTCATAATAAGGATCCCACTATATATATATATATATATATATATAAATACATAAATTAAATAAATAAATAAATAAATAAGGGGTCCCAATTTTTCGGAAGTTCCCATGTAGAGGTTTGAGGTTTAAGGGTTTACGGTTTGAAAGTTCAGTCTAGTACGGTGATTGAAGCTCCAACCCTAAGCCTGGCCTCCAGAGTAGCTGAAGACAAACGGTACGATGTGGGGAGCCATGTTGCCCAAAGAAAAAGTTTGGGCCTGGATATGCAAACCCCTCTCGAGTCCATGTACCCAAATAGTAGACACTTTGGGACCAAAGTACCTATGTAGGGACTACTTTAACTTCAAGGCCAAAGCATATACTGTTTGGCTACATGGATCCTCAGGGAGATGTCAGAGGGCTTCGCGATCAGGGTTTCCGGCTTACGCTGTGCAAACCACAGACACGGATTTCGGATTCGGATTCGAGGATCTTGTGAAACCCTACCCTCAAATCCTCGTCGGGCTGGCAATGTCGGGGACCTCCTGTTTTTGTCTTGTTCCGTGGGTTGCCGTTTTCAGCTTCAATCGTCTCACATCTGCCATACGCTAGTAGATTCAATCACAAGGGAAGGGCCTCAGTACTCAGAACAAGCTTTACACGGTGGACAGGGCTACCGGGATAAGGTTTCAAGCGGTCCTGTCAGCACTTGAAGTTCAATTTACAATTCTCAGGTTTACCATTTTGGTTTCGATGGCTGTTGGGTCAAGGTGAACATGGTTTTGCGACAAGGATGCAACGGAATTTCCTGCACGAAATCATATAAAAAAAACACTGCGCCAAGCACAAAGCCCCGAACACAGACATGTTGTCCCAAAGCCTAACCGCAAACCCGCAACCCCAGAGCCCTATAAGCCCTGACATGTTGCGCCCCGAAACCTTCAGACCTTCCTGGAACGGCTTGAGGCCGAAATTCAGGGGCCGGATGCTAGAACAGTGGGTTCAACCTATTTTGCTTTTGGGATTTATAGGACCTCGGGTGTGCAAGGGCTCAGCGTTTGGGGTTTGAGATTGAGAGTTTATAGGGCCTTCGAGGTTGAAGGTCCAGGTATAGTGGGGGTCTCCCCGAACCGTACAGGATGGCAGTAGTTCAGGTTTTTTTTAATGTAGTTCAGGTTTAGGGTTTAGGGTTTAGGTGTAGGGTCTCTCTTCTTCAACAACCGGGCCCCAAAAAGTTCAAACTTTCTAAGATAGAGCTAATATATAAGGCTAAAAAGTTTAAAGTTCCCCTGTTCACTATCTAAGGGGTTTATAGTAGCTGTAGCTGTTTTTGACCGTGCCAATACCGGGCCTAATTAACAGTTTTTTGCACTGGGCAGTAAGACTGTTGAGACTTCGGGTGTAGGAACCCTCCAAAAAGCCTGAAGAGCTTTCTCGAAGCCGTAAAAAAAACGCTTGAAGAATCCGCACAGAACCCTCAAAGACAGGTGGCAATTCGACCCATTGCTGTGGCTAAGTCCTTCGTCGTCTGACAGCTTTGAGGTGCAGCGGATTAGGGCTTCAAGTTTTAACTCGGGGCGTTTAGGATTCAGTTTAGGGTTTCAGGGCTGCTTGTGAGTTAAAGTTTAAGGTCTCGGGATCGCTCTTGAAAGCTTTCGCGAGAACTGGTGAGTCCGACTTGGAGTCTTCGTCATTGAATGCGAGCTCATGTCTTAGAAGCGAGGTCTCAGAGTATCGCAGCTTCACCCCTAAATCCTACAACCCCGAAACCCTCAATTTCACTACTACGAGGTCGGGTCGGTCTTGGGATTTGCGGCTTCGGCCGGAAGGTAACCCACTGTGTCGGAACACAAAAATTTGGATATGAAGATATGAACCCGTGGAGAGCCGAAATCTGACCAATAACTTCTGAGCGCCAATACAAGGGCATCAGAAATTGCACAAGCGTTCCGGGATGCATTGTGTGACCATGATAACCATTCAGACTTTTTTTGCACCCATCAACCCTGAGCATGTCAGCCCGAATCTCTCTCAAAGCCTCAGCCTTTTTGTCCAACACTCGACCAAAATCCGTGAATCCTTCAACCACCACCCTGTCTCTTTTAGGGGCTGCATGATCTATAGGCACTTGGACTCATTGAAAGAACTACAGAATGCAACCTTAGATGTAGTAGTATAATTAGGAGCCTTAATAATTTCAATAGGGCTTCAGGGGTATACTATACTATAAATTTCATAAGGAGCCCCAAATAGTATAGGTAAGTATTCAGGCCGCTAGAGTGGTCACTGGGATCATTGGCGTCGAAGGCAGGTCATACGGAGTCTGGGAAAACTTCAGTCCCGGACCTATGGAGATAATATGGCCACGACTCCGTGAGGATTCGCATTCTCGATTTCGGAGTACCCCCTCAAAATAGAACATGACACAGTAACATGAAGTGGGCGCAAGTGCACCCAGCTTTAGTTCCCGAAACCCTGCTCCCTCAAGTCTAGAGTCTAAACCCCTAGAAAACCTAAACACCTAAATCAATTTCAACACTGCGGCTGTAGACGGGTGCAGGCAAGCTTCACAGTTGAAGCCATGGATGAACACTAGCGCCTTGCAAAGGTGCAGGGTTGAAGATTAGAATTTTGAAGAGGCATTGATGTACGGGCCTGAAAAGTTCGAGAGAGTTGAGGTAAAAGGCAACAACTGTCAGTACTTACAATATGAGGGGAGGATATGGGGAGTTATTCTTGACTTCTTGAACAAATCTCTTTATAAGGGCTGAAAGGTTCAGGGAGTTGGGTTTGGGCTGTTTGGGCTTGTGGGGTTTAACTAGTATACAAAGTTCAAAGTTCAAGTGGTGGAAGATCTTGGTAGCCCGAAAGCCCTGAAGCCAAGTGACAAAGAGGTGCCCGTTCCACACCCAACAACTCCACAGCCACCGAATCATGCTAGCTACAACCCTCTGGAAGTCTGGAGGACGGCCCTTGAGTACAATAGGTTTGTGAGAAGGTCAAGACTCAGACAAGACGCACGCACGCACACGCACGCACACGCACACGCACACGCACACGCACACGCACACGCACACGCACACGCACACGCACACACACACACACACACACACGCACACACACACACACAAACACACACACACACACACACACACACACACACACACACACACACACACACACACACACACACACACACACACACCCACACACACACACACACGCACACCCGCACCCACACCCACACCCACACGAACACCCACACGCACACCCACACACACGCACACACAGACAAGCAACCACAAGCACGGAGATGCAAGCTTGCAGCCACAAAAGTGCAAGCAACTGCACAAACAAAACTAACTATCCCGAAGATCTTTTAAGCCTCCCTAAACCCTGAACTTTTAGCGCTAAACCAGCGCCTGCCTCCAAGCTGTTTCGCATGGGTGTCCGTAATCTTTCCACGACGGCACTTTCTGCGATGTATCCCACATTCTCGCCTCTCAGTTCGAACAGGATTGAACATTTCTGTAAGCGTTTCTGGGAATCTAGAAGATTTTTGGTAGTTGCTATACGGGATTCTACTAAACTTGTTATATCGATGCCTACAAGGGATGCTAAAAGCGCGGCTACAGGACTTACGGACGTACTATGACTCTACCCCGATAGGCAACAGGCGCATATTTCTTGGACACCCCCCCCAAAAAAACAGGATGCACAAAACACACACACAGCAAACACACGAGACAGTGCTGAAAAACATGTTAAACTTTCTGCGCCACCCTTCCTCTGGACACCAACGGGTGCTTATTTAAGTTTAAAGGGTTTCAGGCTTTGGGGCCGTTTAGGGACTCCAAGATCAGAGAAAGCATCCATGACCTCCGAATAAGCCCAAACATGGTGAGGTTTGGGGAGTCCGCTAGGAACTTTTGGTTCAAAGCCTGAACTTGACCGCTGCGTTTGGGCTTCAAACAAAAGGGTCGATGATGTACCATGTCCTCCATGCTAACACGGTGTCTCTTGAGCACATGCACATGGGATGGAACACGTATGTGTATGCATCCTAAACTTCCTGCGAGAAGTGCGCGCAAAACATGGCACTGTGGACAAAAGAGAATAGCCTGTAGAATACCTTACAGAATACCCTTTCTAAAAACCTAAAAAGGGGTTCACACAACATACGGTACGACCTTCTAGAATAACCCCCTACATACCTTGTATAAAGCTGCTTGAACACCCTCTAAACTAGACCTGTTAGAACACGGTTTAGAACAACACCTAGATATACCTTCTAGGCTAGCGGAATCTAGGATCCGTGAACAAATCGAAGCCTAAGGGATAGATGGTTACGGGGTCGAAGTCGACCCCTGCGTTTTGCATATTTTAGGAATATGCTGAAAATTGTGTGTGTGTATGTGCGCGGTATCAATCTTACTATCTAAATAGTTTAACTATATCAGCTCTGTCATCAACATTAACATCTATATAATTTCTGTAATACTTGTCACATTGTGCAATCATTAGGTTGATGTTAAGCTACATAACCAACATATAACTAGATCAGTTAGGACTACATCATCTATCTCATTAATAGTTCTACCAATTTTAACAGGTGCGATGCTTCACTAATTAAGGTTATTAACAGATATGCACTTAATACAATAGCATTTGGTTCATATTTGGAGGTGATGCTATGTTCTATCAATGTTTGGTTTAGTTCTTCGGGAATCCAGAAGTCTACCCTTCCAGCATTTGATAATCAATAGTTTAACAATAGCTGGCTTATTGCATGTTTAGTGTCTTTGGTTAACTTGTCTATAATCGGATAACCTGAGCTATGAGGCTATGAGTTGTCTTTGTCTATTAGGATAAATTAATTTGGACACATCATATGTTTACAACTAGTATGCAACAGTGATACAAGAGCTAACTTTACAGGTTAATACATTGGCTATATGATCATTACCAACTTGATCGTTACGATCATGTAGTTGGTATTCTACATCCCTGGACAAGTAATGCATGTCTACTGATACTATTTCAGAACTAATGTTAACTGTTACAATATCTTTCATATAGTCTATTTACAATAGGTGGTTCAACCGGTATTATACTTGGTAATTAGTGCTGCTATTCATATAGATTTTCATGACTCTTATTATGTTGTTGCACTTTTTCATTATGTCTTACCATTGAGTACAATCAATGCTACCCCATTAGGACCATTATATGTATTGTCTTGTCCTGTATTAAAATGACTTACTAACACTAGATGAACAGCTATAGGTAGTGGCATTGGCATGAATGGTCTAGGTTAGCTGTGTGTAGAGGTTAATACAAATCAAGTTGTCTAAGTTTTTCATGTGTGTTCTAGTGATTTTATGTGAAGGCTTACATCATTACATCTCAGTGGTTCTAATGTTTAAGCCTAGTAGAGTACAAGACTAAAGAGATTACTTAATATAGTGGTTGGAATGATACTAGTTCAGTTGGTGAGAGGTTGCACGTTAGTTTCATTTTGTATCACTACAGTCCTTTCCAACCAAGATAGTTTAATAAGTATTGAGGAGGCCACCGGAAGCTTGTCGTGAATCGCAACTGCTGTGCAGATATGAGTCACCGGAAAATAGAACTAGGTTATACTAGGCTTGAGTACGGAACACCGCGAATCACAAACTGTATACGGCATGAGTGAGACCAGTGATGCATGAGCGATATATGTGATGCAGCACACGGCTGACACGCATCGGCTTCTTTTGGAACGCGCAACGATTCATTGAACTGTCTGTCACGTAGCCAATGTGTCTCAAAGCGTCGAAAGCAAAAAAACAAAACCAAAAAAAACAAAAAAAAACATTCTTTCAGAACTCTCCCATTCGTGTATATTTCTAATGTTATTCTGGAAGAGCGCTGAAATAATGTTTTTTTGATTTTTTTGTTTTTGTTTGGTTTTGTTTTTTTTGGTTTTGTTTTTTTTGTTTTTTTTGGTTTTGGTTTTTTGGATTGGATTTTATAGATTTGTTAAAGGAAAGGGGCTGGTGTTTCTCAGGGTTCGAATTACGACAACGCCCCTAAGCGCCAGAGTTCATCGTGATGTCGTGGAGGCGGCGGACCTGAAATATGCAAAACGCAGGGGTCGAGTTCGGCCCCCGAACCGGGATACACATAGAGAACAGAATACCTGATAACATCTCCCTTTACATACCCTATAGAATACCTTCTACAACACATTGTGGAATAACCTATCCAATAGCTTTTGGACTACCTTATGCAATACTTTACACAATTCCCCCGATGTAGCCTACATATACCTTCTAGAACACCGTCTGGAATACCCTGTAGAATACCTTCTATGAGACCGCCTATACCCCTTGCATAATTACTATATATATATATACACACACACCATATAGCATGCCTGTAGAATACCTTCTGGGATACCCCTTATAATCCTCTGCAGAATACCCGAATACCCTATAGAGTACACTGAAGGTAGGGACTTGAAATATGCAAAACCATTCGGAGCCCAAGATCTGAGAAGCCCCCATTTCAATTCTAGCTTATTGGGCAAAGGATTACTATGAAGAGAATCCAGAACCAAGAAGAGTAGCAAGATATTTACCTTACAGAATACCCCATCCATATATACCTTACAAGGACTTTACCACAACTTCATATAAAATGCCCATATTTTATGACATTCCGGTTTCCTTATGAAATACCGGTTTAAAGCGGAAATCTATCTGCTGCGTTTTTGCTGTTTTACGGCTTGCAGAACATCAACACAGCGGATACTGATTAGAGTTAGTAGATAATTTGAGCGGTTTCGTTAGTGGTATTACTCAAAATACTTGAAATAGTCTTAACACTAGTATAACTATTGTCATTGTCATTAGTAGTAGTATTAGCAATTTATAGAGATGAGTGTGATAGAGGTAAGTTCTAGTCCAGTTCAGTGAGCCCGAAGGATGAAGGAGGTTCAGCGTTCTTGTGCAGTGGAAGAGAACCAAAATCACAAAAAACAAAAAAAACAAAACCAAAAAAACAAAAAAAACAAAACCAAAAAAAACAAAAAAACAAAAACACTATTTTCAGAAAGTCTTCTGTAAGTAGCATTATCCCGAACTCTTGATCAAGACTGTCTGAAAATTGATGTTTTTGTTTGTTTGTTTTTTTTTTGGTTTTGTTTTTTTTTTGTTTTGGTTCTCTTCCACTGCACAAGACAACCCATACCCTTTCCCCAAACCCTAAAACCCTTCCGCCCTTGAAGACGATGCGATACGCGTCGTCGTCGTAGTGTGTTGCTTCGGTTTTCGTGAACGAAGTTGAACAGCGAAAACGCAGCGGTCAAGTTCAGGCCTCGAGCCGAACTTTTATATAGAGACTCACAGGGAATATTCTGAGCAATTTCTCAGACCTCACGGTTGAGGGACATTCAGACTCTCTGAGTCTCAGGCTCACAGTGTGTAGGACTTGGGCTTAAACATAGAAGCAGGAAATTAGCCATGTTCTTTAAGGATCCTTCTTATGCTATGTTGTAGCTGTATAGTAGGCCGAAGCCGTATTTCTAATCATTGGCCCTATAGGTCAAGCTTGGGGGGCATCAAAACTCGGGTCGATAAGTGTTCCAAAGGGCTTGGTAAGCTGAAAGGGGCGGCTAGTATAGGACAATCTACAGGATTTTGTCAAGGCTTCTGCACGGTTTTTGTTGAAGCTTCCGAGCTGTCGGGCTTTAGGACAGGTTAGGGCTTGCCAGTGCAAGGCTTGCCTAATTTAAACTTAAACTTGAATGAAGTTTGAACGGCCGGCGTGAAAAGCAAACACATCCCTACAAGCTCCAAGCGTCCATTCCGACGCCCTGAGAACGGAAAACACCCTGAAAACCCTCTTCCCCTCAAACCTCCAAGCCCTGAACTACAATCTATCACCTATATAATCTATATCTATAGATGTACATGTGTAAACAGATGTATACGTAGTGCTTTTCTGACTTTTCTCTAATGCAAGCCTTGCCTGAATGATGACACGGAGCTCTTGCGCTTGTTTCCTTCCACCTCCTTCCTGCAGGATCCTAACCGCCTTGTAAGATGACAGAGCAGGAGTTGAGGCTGCTGTTACTGGTTCCCGTAAAACCCCCTAAGCTTAACCACTAAGCCCCAAGGCCAAAACACCCTACAACCAAAGTCCTAAACCCTTGTGAAACCCAGAGGCCGTCAAACGCAAAATCCTCCAACCCTAGGCGGTCCATAAACACTCGAAAGCCCCATGCCCTAAAGTTCCAAAGCCCTTTGTCCAGAAACCTTGAGCCAAACTCCCCAAAACTCTGAACACTGCGACCCCAAATCCTAAAACCAGCCCACTCCTGAACTAATAACTAAGACCCCTGAAACCTGCAGGGTCTAGGGCATAGGGTTAAGGTTTCCCACACCCTAACCCCGAAAGCCCTAAGTGAAGTTGGAGCTGTGAAACCCTACGGATCCAAACACAAGGACGGCCTTCGGGGAAAGAGACAAACACCTGCAGCGTGAAAGCAATAGGCTGCAAAGTAGGCTCGGACCCTCTTCCATGATGCACAAAGGTTTCATACTTCAATGGTTGAAGGCATGCAATATCTTCTGTGTTCTGCCAGAAGCACCTGCGCACTATAGGGTGTCAGGTACCTACTTTTCAGGGTAGAAGCAATGTCCTGGCCGTATATCATCTTCATTAGTTGGAGAATGATGGAGATGTAAAGGGCTAACATCCAACGGTTCCTTGAAGCTTCTACACGGTCTTTATGCGGTTCTATCAAGGAGTGGGCGGTTGCGCGTTTTTTTGGAATGTTGGGGTTCATGGCTGAAGGCAAAGGCTTGGAGGTTGAAGTGGAACATCATGCGGATCGGATTGCGGATAAAAGGGTTCAGGCTTTAGGCTTTGTTGTAATAATCCTCCTAATGGTCCAAAAACACAGGAGAACCAACTTCGACGATGGCGACTTCGGGCAGAGGAAACTTACAAGGGCTTTTGCCTTACAGTAGTTTTTTTGGGGGATCAGAGTTGAAAGAGTTATTGATTCATGGTTGAAGGTCTAAGGGTCTTAAAGTTAGGTGGGTTGTTGGCCTCAACATGATCCACATTCCCTTAGGCCCGGGTTTCGGACCTAGGGTTCAAGGAATCGGGCTTAGGGCCCGGAAGTCTAAGAATAGGAACCATGAAGGATTTTGGTCTAGTTGTCATGCGCGGCTTCAGGCTTCTGGGATGTGGGCTTGATGGCTGAGGGCTTGTGTTACTGTGTCCGGAGCCGCAGTTGCTGCAGATCTCGTCTATAGAAATCTCACTTCGGTACTTCTACGGCCTTGATCTGTTGCTTACCCGTGAGCCTGTAAATCATAGAATTTCATGCGGGCCAAAAGCAATAAGCACTCAACACTCAACCACTTCCGAGCCGAAAGCCTAAATCCTGAAGCCTCAGCAGTTCCCAAACTCTAACTTGATCTGCACATTCCCTATGCCCATATGTTTTGGTGGACGGGTCTGTTGAAGCATTTTGAACTACTGCCGCATGAAAACGAACGAACCAGCAGCAAGCTCAGTAAAAAAACACGCACAGATAGATGGATAGATCCCACAGACAGACTTTCAGACAGGCAGACATAAACATACAGAGACCGATAGATAGACGGGTAGGTAGACAGGTGGATGGACAGGTAAACAATAAGCAAATAATCAAAGAGACAGAAGTACAGGCAGATACATGGTTAGCCTGACATATATATATATATATATATATATATAATGCACATATACAGAGGTTTACATGACTTTATATAGATAAGCAGTAAGATACATCGAACAACGGATTGGTATGTGGGTAGGTAATTACAAAAACGGTTAGATAGACACAAGCCAGCGCCACATCACCCCGCACACACCCGCACCCACATATATATATATATATATATATATATATATATATATATATATATATACATATATATATATATAGATAGATAGATAGATAGATATATACACATACATATACATATACATATACATATACACACACACAAACACACGCCCGCGCGCTTACATACATCGAACGGCCCATCCGGCCCATCCCAAGCCGCATGCCGAAACATAACGCTGTGGAGTAAGTCCTCATTTAAGCCTTGAAGCTGTAAACAATCTTTGAGCCCACGTAAGCTTAAGACCCGGCCGCCCTGCTTTTCTCTTCCATCAATTAATAAGCCACCTAAACGGCTTCATGCCCCTCTGTAGCTTCTTTACTCCGGCCTTAGACGCTCTTGGGATTCAGTGCCCAAGTGCTTCAGAAGTAACTACTTGGACCCTTAGGGTTACGGCTGCCTGCGTCGTCTTCACGCCGTTGAAGAGGCTCGCCTCGGACTCCTGAATGCAGCGCGCGACGGATGTGAGTGCAGACTGCTGTTAGTAGCTACAACCTTAACCCGGAATAACCTACCTTTACCCAAAAAAGGTAGGTTATTCAGGGTTGAGGAATAATCTGAAGAGTTACAGAGATACTGTGTTTCAAGGGCTTTTTGTCGATGGAAAGCTCTTTCGAGCAAAACTATCGTTCAGTGGATTCTGGGCAAAAGACGTTACAGAAGAAATCGGCTCAATTTAGGGCCTTTAGGGTTTACGCTTTAGGATGACTCGGAGATGATGATGTTTGGGCCGTAAGGGCTTGCGGTTTTGCAGTTTGGGGCGCTGAGAGTTCCAGGTTTAGGGTCCTAGACACTGCCCCAAACTGTTGATATGGGGGAGGGGCCTTCATGATTGGAATTTGGCTTTATAGGGCGTATTATTTTCGTATACAGATTTTAGAAGCCGACCGGAATGACTTATAGGTAATTATTCTGATCCCTCTGTTTGCGCCCCACAGAGGAACATGTTACCCTGCTCTACATCTCTTCTGTGTAAGCCCACAGATCCCTGAAGACCGTGATTGAACCTCTAGGCACCCGTTCATTCTGCTGATCGCTATGGGGGCCGTGGCTCTGGGCCTCGCACCACTAGGGCTCAGATTACTTCAATTCCAGATTTGGGCCGTGCTGCGACCAGCACGAGGCTGTGTGATCTCATTGCGCAACCCTGGCCCTCTACTCAATCCTAAATGTAAAACTCCGTGCATTCTGAATCCGTATATTGGTCCTTTGCAGTGTGTACTTTGGGCACAAAAACACCCAAAAACATCCTGAACCCTCAACACCCTCTAAACCCTCACCAACCTATAACCTTTAAACCCCCTGCGGACCCTGAGCTCTAAACCCAAAGCCCCTAAACCCCTAAACCCTAAACCCCAAAACCCTAAGCCACTACACCCCTAAACCCCAAAACCCTTGATCCTAAATCCGAATCTTGCCTGCGGTATCACCTCCACACGGAGCTGCGGATCTTCCGCAGCCTGACAGAAGCAGCTTCCCAAAGGGAAGATTGCATCCCGGGTGAACTGCGGATTCATCATGATACAGCAGCCTTGGTTGAGTAGTGGGTAGGCTAGGGGTATAAAGTAGACGATAGCGGAACAGTATTAGTAAACATTTAGACTTCTATGCGACCTTATCTGAAGGAACCCACTACCGTCGACTGAGCAGAGAGCACGGCCACACGGGAAACTGCAAACAAAGGACCCCTCTGTGGTCGATCAGGTTTAAAAATGTCGGAAGTCAACTGGGTGCGGTGTTCACAAGGACTGAAACAAAAAACACGCGTGTTGCTCCTGTATTTGGGTTCAGGGCTTGGGATCCACAGGGCCCGTAAACGACAACCCAAGGCTGGGATAAGAGGATCTCTAGACTGGAAATTGCAGAATTCTGAGATCGCTTTGCTTCTGTGGCCGTTCGGGCCCTAGCCCAGAGATGCCGAGAGTTCGGCAAGGGGCTTCTCTTCTTCGGGAACTTTATGACACTGCAATGACAGGGGTCATGTAAAGCCCGAGACTGACCATAGCACGCTGTAGCAGTCACAAGGAACCCTATACCTGGAGGTCTCTTTGGGTCGGCTAACGCTTAGCCCCTAAACAGCAAAAAAATACACTAAACGGCGTGGGTCCCTACTCCAAGTGCTCGAGCCTGGCGCTTGTGGTAGCTTTGCACAAGCCGTCCAACCATGTCCTGGGACACAGGGCAACAGAGGGGTCTTCATGACTAGAATAGGGATTGGTTTATATGTTCCATGAAAGTCCTACACGGTCTACGATACAGGCTACAAGAAGAGTCTTGTATGGGGCCTTCAGAAATGGAACAAGGCCTTGGCGAGGGGGTAAAATGCAGAACCAAGGGCTCGCGGTTCAGGGATTTATGAATAGCCAGGGTTGGTTTGGCTTCGGGGCGAGGCTTCTGGAAACTTCCCAGAGGGTCCAAATGTCTTGCCATGATGCGTTTAGAACCCAGAAACCATATCAGGCATTGCCTTTCGGTGCCCAACTCTACATAATCGTAGTATATGTGGACCCTCTCTGTGATTGCGAATTTTCCCAAGCAGGACCATGAACGACCTGAGTACATCTGGATAATTCTCGAAAACCTACGTTATTAACGGAAACCACCCTTAACAGGTAACGGTATTCGGCCTGTCTCGCCACGATTAACCTCCAAACACTGAAACACTGCAAAAACCCTGAACGCCCCGAACCACGAAATCTTAAACAATACTGGAACCACAAACCCTGGATCCTAGCCATCGAATCCCGATAATGCGGCCTTTAAGCGCAAAAAGCCGGAAATCTCAGACCCCAGATGGGCTTGCAATTGTCGGGTTTCCGCAGGTAAGCACGCAACAAAGGCGCTAAACCCCTACAAGACAGCTTTAAACCCTGAACGAAAGCCCCAGAGTACCGCTGTGAAAACCCAGTCTGAAAAAAAAAGTTGCAAAACCGTCTCGAAAACCATATAACACCCTGAAATCTGCCTTTGCCCGCCCCACCTCCACAGAGTCCATCTCGTTATGATACTCCACGGACGGAAGGAAGGGGAAGAAGCCGCCGGCAAAGGACGCCTTAACAAGTTTTACGGCTCAGCATGTAAGAATTAGGGCTTAGGACTTCGGGTATATAGATTTTGCAATTCGGTCATACTCAGAGTTTAGCAGTCTGTTGCCAACAGCCTACTGATTCATGAAAGCCCACTTCGGGTTTTAAGGTTCAGGCTTCGGAAAGTTAGGTTTTGTTTGTGTCTTGTACGATGTTGAAAGTAGGGATCGGACATTCGTCTGAGCTTTGGGGCCTGTCAACTTCTCAACCTGCTGGGTTCAGAGCAAGACGTAAGCTGCCGATCGTCTTTTTGCGGGTTTTGTGTGTAGGCTCTGCATAGGGCCACGTCACTCCTAATATCTGAACGTTACAAACCCGCGACAGGGCACCTCCACATATCCAATGCCATAGCGCAGCTGAGACTCCTGCAACCGACATTTCCAAAACAACCATCTCTTCATGACCATGAGCATCATCCAGATAATGTTCAATAGACCCAACGTCATAATCAAACGGAAGTTGTAGTGTTTCTACTCGTGGCGTCTTATTTGTCACCAAGATCATGATCATATTATTCGCCGTGGTCCCCATCCTCATCTTAATCACAAGAGCTTCTTAACGATGCGAAATCAGCTCATGATCGTCAGGAGAGCAACAACAACGACAACCACAGCGTGACTACCCGCAATAGCAGCTCACTTACACCGATCACAGTCTCATCGCCGTCATAAAGAGTCATCTCCCGTTTTCAGAGGCAACACTGTCTTCAACAACAGTTTAATCGCCATCATCATTTCAATGTCACATTCCCGTTAGTACCATCATCGCGATTGTCTCATGCACAGCCTTCACCAGTACCACCTCCATCTCCATCCTCAACATCCTGGCAAGCATCAACACAAGAATCACCTAGCCAGCAAGGCAGATGCTTCTCGCGATTTACGCTTAGGCTTTCGCCTAAGCCTCACTTGCACCCCGAACCCCAAAAATGCCCGAAGGAGGCCGGTCTCTTTGATACAAAACCCTCAACGCCTAAACCCTAAACCCTCACAGCCTGGAATACTGACACTCCTGAAGGCGATGAGGCTGACCCGCAGGCTCAAGTTATTGTACTAGAAATACCGAGGTAAGTTTACTACAGGGGCCTTCATTTGGGCCTAACTTTTTAGACTTATTTCGGCTTGGGTATACTCTGGTCTAACTTTTAGAAGGACGCAATGGAAAAATGTTGGTGATCATTCGGGCTTCTACATTAACTTCAATATGCGGCTTTCTAGAGCTGATTGGTGCATACTTCGACCAAACAGACCTTATGTTGGGACCGAGTCCTTGTGTGGCAGAAACGACGATTTGTTCAGAGCGTTTTGCTGGCAATCGCCACGGGAAGTGACGTAGCCCACAGCGCACTGCCTTGAAAGGTTCAGGGGCTCATAGAGGTAGTAACAACTCATAGACAACGTAATGTTAGGAAACCCAATCTGATTTGTCTTCTTTAGTTTAGGGTCGGGTACTGCTTTGGTCCCGACACCAAGAAGGAAAGGGTAATGCGGATTTCAAGATCTAAGATCTGGAGTAGAGTTCCGGGTTGAAGGTTCGAGGTAAACGGATGAGGGAATTCAGATTTTCAGGATGCATGGTTTGTGGCTCAGAGTGTGGCTCTCGGTTTTAGGGTGCTTTGGACTCGCCTTTGTCCGTTGAGCCCCAATGCCAGGGCCCATATGCGTTTCCTTTGAAGTTGGGGTCCTAGGCATAATATCGTATCATGTAGCATCAGGTCCACCATTTTCCAGAAAACTCGGATCCTCGTTCCGTTACGGCAATTCACTTTAAAACACGCAAGGCTTCGGGAAAGATGCAGCTACGGCTTACATCTTCGGTCCGCTTATGCAAGATCTTGGTTGGATTCGGGGGTTACGATCTGAGTCTACGGCTTGCTCGGGTCTGCACAGGGGTCTGTTCATGAACGGAGTAGGGGTCGAACGTGCGTGAGGGATTCTTTAGCGACAACAAGTGGCCAGTTGCTTAATATAGGGGCCTTAATAGTTAGAATAGGTTTTGGTGCCCATTATACTCTAGTTATAATACGGAACCCGCACAGTATTATTGGCAATTAAAAATTCTGGCACCTACATTGAGGCTCTATGATCTTCTATACGCAGGGTTCGGGGTTCTGGGCTTAGGACAGGCCAGTGTAGAACAAGCCGCATGAACTGAGCACCGGTGCCATACTCCCTGGAAGTCCTCGGCAGACCCAGTCTTGTAGGAGGTTGCAGACGGCCATTTTCCAGCTCTAGAGGAACTTGAAACGGTCCTGGTATAGCTTCGCTGCAAACGAACCGGAAGGAAAGAAAGCGAAAGCGCGGAAGTGCGAACCACGAACAGTGATGCAATCTTGGCAACCAAAAGAACATAGCACTAAGGCCCTAAAAGAGTGGGGATGCGCTTTCGGCCGCCCCAAAGCACTGCATCCACACTAAGTCCTAAGTGCGCCCGCCCCCCCCCCCCCCCACAAACACACACACACACACACACACACACACACACAAACACACACACACACACACACACACAGACACCGACCGACACCGACACCGACACCGTCCCTGATAATGTGGAAGCATGGAAACCCTCGTACGCTCAAGCAGGTCGGCAAACACATGCCGAATATATGGAGACGTCATAGAATTGAAACAGTAGGTCATTATGCATACCCTTTGTTTGAACCACCCCAACGTCGCTTACTGGACGGCCCTTCGGTGCCATATGAAACTAGTGTCCTCAGCAAGGAGACCATAACCAAGAATGGATACCTATAGATTGTAGCCCAACCGCAGTTCTTGATACCCACTCAAGCCTATCTGTGATGTTGCGATCACGACCACGACCATCACCACTACCACTGCAATTGCCACTACCGCTACCACGACAACCACGACGACGCCCCTAACTTCAGCTCGTAAGAAGAGTGGCTTGGAGATTTGTTACCACTGCCACTACTGCTGCTGCTGCTACTACTACGACGACGTCGAGGCTTTCTATTCTATATGGTCAACAAAAAATCTAAGCCTTTTGCACCCGAAGCCCAGGAACCAACTGCCCGCCGGCATCCCTTCGAACCATTCGCCACGGAGACACTCCTGGGTGCTTTTGCAATGCCGGCATGTAGGGTCGGAGCTTTGGGGCGAAAGGTTAGCAGTTAAGCTTTGATGGTGTGGCTTGTAGGATGTAGGAGTGTCGGGTACAGTGGCTTAAAGTTGTTGGCCTAAGAACTACGTTGAGGCAGCCTCCTCCCATACCCAAGCCCAAAAAAAAAACGAACGACAAGGATCCTGCTATTGCATGCCTTGGGAAGGGAGAGGGGTACATTGTTCCGAATCCAGGGGAAACAATCTGCCACAAGCGGTTCCAAACGTTCGAGAATCAGGGCTTAGGGGAACGGTTCAATAGTTTCGGGCTTCGGGGGACTACTATTAATACAATGTATTGGCATCACTAGATTATAGACTATAAGAGGATGCGATGACTAGCTATTCCGTTGTTCTTCAAATTTGAGCACGTGCGCGTGTAGCTATTGGTGGCCTGCTGATGCTTTCAGAACTTCCGAACCCCGCTATGTGGACCAAGGTTTTTGGGGGGTACAGTATCTGACAGAAGCAATATCATGAATGGAGGGGCTGTAAAACTTGCATATGCACGCGTTTTACAGATCAGATCACCATCCCTGTATGTATGTTAAAAGCTATGCACCTCGAATCGACCTTGTATTGTGTTTCTTGTCAGTCCCGGCTCAAGGTTTTGGAACTAAAGTTGATGCGCCACCGTAAGCCCTTTTGAACTTCTGACCCCTACGCCCTGAACCATGAGAACTACAAACTCTAATCTCCAGGTCCAAACTCCCGAACACCAAATTTAAAGCCCTGGACACCCAAACAACAGCCAGGCCTTGCACGTTTAAAACCCCAAGCCGCAAACTGGAGTAGATTCTGCTTCTCTGCTTGGATGGACCAATGGATTCTTCCGCAGGTACACTCTGCCCCAAACAGTAAGTTGGAGCAATGCTGTTTTTTTGGGAGGGTTCAGGGTTCACGGCTATAGACCCAAGACCACCCTGTGGCTAGAAGTGCTTAGGAGATTAATCGTAATTAGTACCCTATGCTACAAGAATCACCGTCTACCTTTTTGTAACCTTGGGCCGTATCTGCCCCATACCTCCTTCTCGCTTAGGGCTTCAGGAAACTACGTAAAGGCATACCGAAGATGCAGGCATAGTGCTTGGGATTCAGGAGCTTGCAGATATTCGTTACGCACAATTTTCAACCTGTCCAGTGTAGCCCATGGAAGTACTGTAGGACACTTTACGCGCTTCTTGGGGTGCACGGCCTCGCTATGCCAGACCTATCAGCCTTTCCAAGATAGAAAATCAGTTGCCTGTGTTGAATTTCCCGTGTTTGCTGCTATCCCCAACCCGCAGCCTGAAGCTTAACGTCTGTAGTCCCGGAGCCCTCATCCCAACCCCTCAAGCCTCATCCTAAACATCGAGCAGCCCTCTTAGTCGCCTAAACCTCCAAACGCAAAGAAGTTCTCGCAAAGGTGCACCATGGAAGGAGGTGTCCCACCACACTCCTTCTCCATGAGGGCGCTCCTTCTCGTCCACCTTCGTTTTCTTCTATAATACAGAGGCATCAACAGGGATTTGGCGCATATGGGAAATTATGAAGACTTGCAGTATTCACTGGGGAACACCATAAGAATTAAGGTTGGTAGCTTTTCTGGCCCGCATATCGGGGTCCTCTGTTTGGCTGTAGCTTTCATCACAGGTTCCAACTGTTCAGGACTCTTAATACCATTGACCCATATGGCCTGCAACTAACTTTAAATTCTTTGTGGGTCTTACTGATTAAGCTGCCTTGCTGCTCAGATGTGATCCTTTTTGTTGTGAGCCCTCTGGTCTGCTAGCTCCCGACGGCTTAAGGCTTGCAGTGTTTGTCTGCGATGTCAGGTTCTCGGCTTACAACAAGGGTTCGCGGTTTAGAGTTTTTAGTGTTTACTCTGATTAAAGATTTTCCAACGAGTTCGAATCGACACTGAACGAAGAGGCCAGTGTATACCCCAACCCTGCGGGTGCAACAACAGAACAAGGAGTACTAGTTCTCAAGCTTTCAAGTGTATGGCTCGATGGCTACCTAGACTCCTGGACCCACCAACCGCTCTCTATGGAACATCAGCAGCCACTGCTGAAGAAGGGCCATAGAGCCGCAATCAAACATACACTGTAGGTCCCACAAACTCCAAAGCCCTTAAGCATAACTGCATAACCTAACCCCCCAAGCCTTACACCGTTCAACCTGCAAAGTTTACGGCTTCGGGCCTTTAGAGTTTAGGAGATTTTATAAGCCCGAAAATCATGAATCCTGAAATTTGGAGCCGCAGAGCCTCACCGACGTACCTTGCAACAGGAGGCTGGCCAGGGGTTAGGGATTTAGGGCTTGGAGGTTTTTGGGGCGTACAGGTCATAGGGTTTTGGGGCTCAGCGTTTCAGGGTTTAGGGTTTGAGGGCGCAGCGAGGTCCGGAGTGTCAGGGTTCTGGGTTCCCACGTGGCTCCATGCTCCGGATTTGAGTGTTTATATTTGCCGAACACAAAAGCCCAAACTTTCACAGCCTCAGCTACATTTAGGGATCGAAGGTGGGAGCTCGAAGAAAAAGTACAGTCTTCAAGGTATGGGAAGTCCACGGGTCCAAACTCCAAAACCATAATCGTGGTGGCCGTTTGCAGCAGGACGTGGATAAGCTAGGAATCCTTGAGTACGAATTGAATGACCACGGGTAGTTGTGATGTACTTCAGCATGATGACCTTTTCTGATCGATCTAGGTCTTACCCTAAAATACCACTGAAAATTCAAGGCTCGATGTTAAGGTCTATGAACCCAGAGTCCTTAAAGCCTTGAGGTAATCCTGAGCTGTTGTAGGTATCGAGATTGCGAGTTGGGCTATTTCGATTCGCTCTTTTAGGTTCGCTCGTTTAGGAACCCGAAGCCCAACTGGGGGCAAAGGAACACCCTCCTTGCTTCGAGTCGCATGAACTCCTCGCGGTGCCAGCCAAACAGACCAGAGGGCTTGTACCTTTCTGTGGTGATATAGGGACTTAAGACTTCATGAAGATTGAGCATAACAGGATCTAGGGTGAAGCCCCCACTGGGCAATACGTGTGGACAGGGAACAGAATGTACTTAGAGGGATCTCTTTTGCATTCCCAGTACCATAGTGGGTCTGGTTCTGCCCAACCTTACAGCTTCACTCCGGAGCACTTGAAGCCGAAGGCTCTGAGTGACTTCCTGCTCCTACGGGCATGCTTCTGGCATGGTGTTTCACTCTTTGGGGATCCCCACTGGCCTGATATTTTGTGAAGCTTCGTATGTCCGGTTTATACGAGGGACCAACAGCGAGATACATAAGCTACGGTAACACAGAAACTCTAGCTCGTCCGACTGCCATCAGGCTTTCACATGTAGCGACGGGCACCATGCTATTGTAATCGTGAGCCAAAAGCAGAAACCCAAAACGATTGTATCACCAGCGAGCGAAACCTGACGAGACACACAAAGCAAGACCCAACGACTGAAAGCAATGCATCGTGCTTAAGGCATCAAAGCTACCCTCTTCAACGAACAGTGATACCTGCTGCTTGCTTCCTGGAGGCGTGTAGTGATGAAGACTTTTGGCAGCTCCTCCCCCAGCTTTTCGCACGGAACCTGGGACATGTCAACGTTCGACCCACCCCGCATCCCGGCCTTGAATTGTGGTCTAAACAATACCGCACGACATCCGAGCCCTAAACCCCTTAATCAGGATCCTACGCTTCACGTATAAATGGGGTTGCCCAGTTTCTTAACCCCGCAGCCCCACCTAAGTAAGGAGACATCATGCTTGTATCGGTGTTGGTAGAGCTCCAGTTTCGTAAGGGTGTCGGGTTTAGCTTCGAGAATGGGCTCCAAACCCAACCTGGATCCTGAGAACTCTAAACCCTAAACCCTAACCTCAAGAAAGAGATCACAGGCAGGAGCCCTAACAAGTAGTTTATTCTGGGCTTCAGTTGAATCCTGTAGTCCAAGGGCCCAAGCCTTTGGGGTTTAGGTTTTATGGGGGTTCAAGGTTGAAGATTTAGGAGTCATAAGGCTTAGAACTGCGTGCTTGAGATGGTCTAGGGTTTAGGATTTAAGATCCAATTCTGGAGTCTCTTGGAGGTTTCTTCAAGGGCTGGAAGTTATGAGGGCTGCAGGATGTGGGGGCTGGGGGTTACCCGAGGTCGAACTCACAGGGATAAGTTGAGCCTGTAGAGTTCAGGATTTAGGATTTCTTGCTCTTGTTAGGGTTTGGGGTGGTTCAGGGGCTTACTGAATGAGGACAAGCATCACAGTATCGGAATCGTGTGTTTCTTGGACACTGCAAGCTAGGAGAACGAAGTCTTCCAATCTTGGTGGACGGATGTTTTGCACTACACTACACGTGCAGAAGGGCTTGGCTGGGGAATCCAAACAGCAATGTGGAAGTTGATAATCTAGGGGAACCTGATGTAAGACCACAAAACTCCTCTAATCATTCAACCCTGAAGCAGCCACTAAACCCTATTTTCGAAACCCCTAAACCCTGAAACAAACCCAAAGCCGAAGAACGCCACCAAACAAGCCAGCGATCGCCGCAACAGTGGAGGCGCAAAGCGCACGGCAGCAGCACGCGGTGTGGAATAAACCTTGCCGCGTTTAGGGCTTGCCTAAACTCCCCAAGTACCCTCGAATATGCCCGATATACCCACCAGTAAGAACATTAGGGCATTTCCGGTTTCTAGTGTTACGGAGCCGCGCCCTAGAGTTCACGCTTTGAGCAAAGATCCTAAACGCAGGATGAGAGGATCCGACATCCCACAGTTAGTCCCGTCTTTAAGCCAACATGGAAAACCCCACGCAGCCCGTTTCAACTGCAGCTTCTTCAGACCCGCCGTTCCCGAGCCCCTGCTGCGCCAGAAATCGAATCCTAATCCCGCCACCCTTAGACAGCGCTATCGGCAATCTCCTCGTAGCCTATTCCGAGACCCTCGAGACGCACATGCAATTGACGCACCGCCAGGATCGTGCTTCGTGGGGTGGTATTCCCAACAGATCTATCAACCCTCCCTAAGAGAGCTGCTAAGCATAACTTTTGATCCAGTCTGTGCTGGTGGGCTCGTCTTATACAGGGCTCTGTGCCCAAGGGATTCGGCCTCAGAACAAAGTTTTCGTGTAAAAAGTCGTGTGGATATCGCCACGTGTGAGGCCTCGCTCGTTTACAGTGTCCTGATTGAGCTACTTGAAGGGAAAGTGGAAAAACGGGTCGTTTCACGAAAAACCAAGCACCATTTTGGCCCGAAATCTCAACGCCCAAACCCCCGATCCCGAGCCCTAAACGATCTTGTGGAATCCTTGTGGCCCCTTGAACCAACCCGTTACACGTCCCGCCCAGGCCATCAACACTGCGGCCGAGAAGCAGCAGCACAGTGATCTGAGATTCATGTATGAGGTAAGGTTGAGGAATTCGGACAGGAGGGTTTAGGGTTACTGGGCTCTTGTGATGGAGTTTGAATAAAAGGAAACTACGCTAGGTGTACGTAAACAGGTTTCCTTATTCTGGTAACCTCCAACTTGGAAAACAAGAAGCCTGGTTAGCGATAACAAAAACCATTGTGTGTCTCTGCTTGGAAGATCAAGAGGTTGAATTTTGCAAGTGCATCTGCATGTGGGGGCCTTAACAATTAGAACGATCAGGGTTTAGGGTTTAGGGTTTACTGCATGCAGGGGCTTTACAAATAAAGTGTGGTATTGGAGTCAATCAGAATAAGGAACCCACCGAGGCAGAGTCCTGTTTGATTACTGTTCGATTCGGGACTACCCAGGCCCCCACATCTTGCGCTGTATGTGGGGTCATAAGTACCTGCAGCGGTTATATGCTACGTACTGAGAACCTGACTGGCCCAAAACCCGGGGAAATAAAGGTTGAAACTTTCAGAATCGACTACTGTATAAGAACCCCAAAGTTGAAAAGTTGAGTCTACAGCCCATAAGGAACTGCATGTAACCTCTTCTAGAAGCTCATTACTCACTCCGTGGAACCTTCAAGCACACTCTAAAGCTCCTGCAGCCTCAATCTACGAGTACATTCAGGGTTCAGAAGCTCAATCCATAAGGGTGCAAAAAGACTCAACATCCGTATGCAGTTTGGCTAAAAGCCCGAAACCGAAATCGTTGAATCCTCTGACAGAGCATAGCCGGCAGACGATGAGGACCACCACGAAGAGGATCAATGACTTGGGCGGAGGCATGCGGTTTAGGGCACGGCAACGAAGCTCTTGGAGAATACATCGGGAGAGGGTGCAAAAAGTAGAGTATGAAGGATGCCGTCATGTTTAGAAGGCGGTCATCGTGTAGTACGGTCTGATGGGGCTTTCCTGACAGGCTTACTTCAAGGACTCTACGTGACGGCTCCTGAAAAGGTTTAGTTTTGTGGCTTGCTCTGGGCGTTGCAGCAAGGGCTCAGGGTTGAGGCTTCAACTTTTGGGATTGTAGATGATCGTAGGCCGTAGGATTAAAGTTGATCACCTCCATCATGTGAGCCATGATTGCTGTCTCAGTTTCTCTACCCTGTACAGTACCCTTGGTTTCAGCCGCAAATTGGCTGGGCACGCCTGGCTTCAGAAAAGGGACATGTACCTACATATATATATATATATATGTATACACACACACGCAGTCACAAGCACATACATACATACATACATACATACATACATACATACATACATACATTACATACATCCATACATGCATGCATGCATGCATGCATGCATGCATGCCCAACGCTTTTCAAGCAGAACATCGCAAGTACCACGATATCGAAGTAATCAAGTCAACGCACAAAGTGCAAAACCCAAAGCTCATTTAGACAGCTAAGGCAGAGGAGCAACCATGGGCGCATCAATTTCAAAGCCTGAGACCTGAAGCTTACCAAGATAGGTCAGACGTATACACCCAGGTGTTGCTGTGGATTACGCAACACCACCATGCTTCAGCCCGCGGCCAAAAGCTGGGGCTCATCCAAGCAGAACTGGTCCTGAGCATGGCGCTTTCTCAGGACCCCAGCTCGTACCGGACAACCACATTTGGCAAATAAAGCCTAAGCCGTTAAACCCAGAAACCTGAACCTCGGTAAAATGATTCCGAAATCGCAGAAGGCTTGGCTCTTCCAGATGTGGGCCTTCAGGAACAAAGCGGAACTCTGAAGTTGAGATCCCTACATGAGAGATCTAGACAGTATGCAGGGTCGTTACCACAATCATCCCGACAGAAGCTCGGCCTCGAATTCTCTCCAAACTTCCGATCCCTTACTGCGCAAAACGAGAAAACCCAAACCCTCGACCTAATGACGAAGCTCTTGACCCAAAGCCATGCCCAAATCCCTGACCCAAAGCCCTGCAGGTCTGCACGAGCATGACGTTCCCGTGGTCCTGTATACACCCTACACCCCTGGAACAACAATCAAGGCCTCGCACGACATTCAAGCTTGTCGGCTCAGGGTTCGGTGTTCGACCAGAACCCTGCATAAAATACTGCCGCGTTAGGGTTCCTTATAGGTTGGAAAGTAAGCTGTTTGAAAGGTTTCGAGCCCGTAACTGCCACGGTTTTCTCATCCCGTTTTAGCCCGAGCCCAGAAATCCAGAAGGCGTGTTCGGTCATCTCTGGCAAGTATCTACCGTTGTCGCCATGATTTCAGGGTTTAGGGTTTAGCGGTGTACTTGTGTTGTGTATCTTTTGGATTTAACATCTTCTTGGGACACGTCTACACCTGCTACGGTAAGTGGTCTGTGCCATGTCCCTTGGCTTTCTAAGAAGCTGCCCTAAACCTCAGCATGGCAGAACCCATATTATGTGAGGCCCTTCCGAAGCCACAACACTTACCCTATATATCCCAGACCCTAAACTTTGGAGTACCCCTCAGTTGTAATTAGTGAAAGAAGTTTCTATAGAAACTCTTAAACCCGGAATCCTCAAAATTTAAACTCCATCAACGTGTCTAAGTCTCTGAAGAGAGCCAGTTCGAGTGCGGAAGATCCATGCACGTCATCCTGAGCTGTTCAGGTCGAGGGTTCAGGGTTGGTTATACAGCTACACTGCAACGGGAACACTCCCTAGAGCGTCCAACGTTAGAAACCCTGGGAAACCCTATCAAGCAACACTCCCTAAAGCATAAACCCCTAGAAGACCCGAAAGCATATATGAGAACACAGAAGTAGCAAAGTACACCACTGAACGAACTAGCATCTTCATCTTGTCCACAGCTCGCTCTTCCTGGGAAGTTGAGTGTAAGCCTTCGGGCTGTGGGCCTGGGTACCAAGGGTTTAGGCTTGTCGACAAATTTGGGATTTAAGGTGTAGGGTTTAGGGCTTTGGGATAGCATATCTTCAGGCTTGAGCAGGCCCTGTCTTGCTACAGCGAAGGCCAACGCGGATTCAGGATGTGCAAACAGTTGCATTATGCGGGTGCATGGGGCTTCTACCCTCCTTCGCTTCTTCCGCCGGGGTTCTGGTTTCGGGCTTGCCGGGTTCAGGGCCCGGGTCTTCCCCAAGGCAAGCACTTGGAGGTGTCGGATAGTTTGGGTGTTTCCAGAAGTTGTCGAGTTTTTTACGTGATGGATACTTGTACTTCGGGTACTTGTCGAGTTCAGGGTGTGGGGTGCTTTAGGCTTTAATCTAGGTTTTCGGATATTCGGGTTGGGCTTCTTGTCGCAAACAAACTCCTGGACTCTAAGCCTGATGTAACACATACATGCCTACACCCCAAAGGGCCTGAAATGAACTTCTAAAATTTGACCTGCCGAAACCTTGCGCAAGCCCGACCAAAGGCTCTCCTTCCGGCGGACATCGAAGAACCAGGCGAACCACAAACAGAATATGTACAGCTCTGTGCCCACCTCCGACTTGCATAGGTTTAGGGTTACACAGGCTAAATTTAGGTGTCGAGGACTTCTTTAGTCTTTCATCGCCTGGATATGGGGAAATCCTGGTTTTGCTCATGGCAAGCTTCGGGTGCAACGGGGTTTGCTTCGAGGAGCTTATGGGGCCCGAAGGAAGCATGTCAGCCCATGGACAAATCCAGATTTCTGGAGGCTTGCAATGGCACTAAGCACCCCATAACGGACCTGGAGCCCATACATGACACACCCATTTTTGCCTGTAATGAAGGAATAGTCTGAAGTCTGAAACAGCATGCGTCTGGCAAGTGCATGTGCGTTGTGTCTTGAGGGGTTTGCGGTCTTCAGGGCCTGGGCTCTCAGCAGATTACAACTTTGGGAGTCAGGCTTTGGGCTTTGGGGGCCGGAGGTCTTCATCCGAATTCTCATTTGGCGATTTGCATTGCGAACAAAGGGAAAGGCTCATCCCGTCAAAACTTCCCACTCTGCACTTACGGTTGCAGGCTGCACTGTGCGGCGATTAACACTGAAGCTGTGTAGTCTAACTTTAATGTGCTCCCTCTGAAAGCCTCGCAACACCATGCGAAACTTGTACTCATCACCACATGCAAGCTCTAAGCTTTCAACCCCATCTGAAACCCTAGACGTTCATGCTGGAATTCCTAGAAAACAAAATTGAAACGGTGTTTACGGTTCGGGAGTGGGACAGCAGAATCCAGTGCATCCGAGCCGCCCAAAGTGTAAAGGTGTGCTCAGGGTAATAGATGGTTTGCCTGGGGCTACGGTTTAGGGTCTGTGGCTTTGCGCTTCGGGTTTTAAGGCGTAGTGCTTAAGTTCATAGCTGTGGGGCGTAAAGAAAATGCTTCAAGACAGTCTTCATCACATAAGCTGTATACTGAGGGGCGCGCATCAAGACATTGCGAGTGGAGACCCTACCTACTACCACGGAGGTGTTTCATAAACGAAAGTGCGCAACAGGACCGCGAAGGTGTTTCGCTCAACATGCACTATCTTGAAGTTGACATTGCGAAGAGCCTGAGTCTTCAAATCCGATGTCTTCACTTCCTGCATCCAGTAGAGTAGAGTCCTCGCACTACTAGACTTTCCGCACGAGTTGGTGTGTGTGTGTACACATATGTATATATATATATATATATATATATATATACATATATATATATACCCTATGATTCCAACCACCCTAGAAACCTAGGGCGTTGCCATTACCACCCTACTTTTTCCCGTGGTTGGGAAATCGTGGCCGAACCACCTAATTAGGGACCAAGCAAACCCCCTTCCATAAAATAGAGACGATCCCCCGAACAACCTCAATTCGACCCGACGATGTTCAAGAGCCTGCGGACCCGAACCACCCTGAAATGACCCATTCGAAAATCGAGGAATGGAACTCGAACCACCCCGAAAGAGACCTCAACAATATGACCCTCAACCCTAGGGCCTTAAACCGTAGACCCCTCAACCCTAAATTCTGGGGTTGAAACCCTAAACCCAAGGGCCTTCGTACTGGGTCGGGTGCTGTGGCGTGGCTTTGGGGCTCTGGTACTTTCTCTGGGGTCTGGGGCTCGGGGACCAAGTTTGGGTGGGGGTCTCGGGTTGGGGTTTGCGGGTTTGCTTCGCTCAATTCGTAGACTGGACTTAAATTTTGGGGCACAGTACTGGGGCCTAGGGCCCTAAGCCAAACCCTAGGACCCCAAACCGTAAACCGCCGGACCCTCAACCCTAAAGCTCAGGGATCCCCAGGGCCCGAAACCTCAAACCTAGGACCCCCTCAACCTTAAACCCTGGAGCCTGAAACCCTAAACCCTAGGGCCCGAAACCCTAAACCCTAGCACCCTAAACCTCAACCTAGGGCCTTTATCCCTACACCCTAGGCCCCAAACCCTACACCCTAGGGCCCAAAACCCTAAACCCTCGGGACCGAAACCCTCAACCCTCAAACCCCGGAACCCCATCGATGTTTTCCGGGCGCTCGGGATCACGATTGTCGAGCCCTTTGGGCCGCACTGGCATTCAAATCCAATCGGCGAACTTTATATTTCATCGCCAAAAGCCGGAACCCAGCAACTTTCAGGACATGCCTTTCGTAATGTCGCCGCTTGTTGGACCTCGCAGAAAGTCCTCGGCTTCAGAAATTCTTTGAGGGGCCGAACTTATATGTCTGGGTTTTGGGCCCGGGGGTATTCTATGATGTCTTTGGGGTTGCTTCAGGGTTTGGGGCTCAAGTTCCAGGGCCCTCATAGGTCGATTATGGGTTTTCCAATGCCGACGGGGCTCTTTTCACATATGACATGTGGTCCTCGTCGAGGGCTCCATGAAGAAACCTTTGATTCATACCTCAGAGCACCAGCAGGAAGCTAGAACACGGTCGTGGTCCTTTTTGCCGTCAAGTGTCACCAATCTCGGGTCATGACGAGCTGTTCGTGGAAGGCCTCGGCCACGGCAGCCCAATTGCAAACTCCAAGCCCCCACCGTAGTCGCTGAGCAGAGCACATGAAATTTGGGTTTCAGCAGCCATCTTTTCAGATTCTTCCTGCCCAGCAGAAATGTGTGCAAAGGAATACCGTTTCTAGTGAGGAGCCCCAGCAGTCCTTTGGCACAGCCTTGTGAGGGCCACATGTGACTCCAGGAAGCCCATCCCCGCCGAATAGAGCTGCATGGCTTCGTCCACAGTCCTGGATTGATCGGGCTTAGGGTTTAGGGCTTCCCGTGCAGAAATCCATGAAGCCAGGTTTCAAAAACCGCCGGAATCTCTCGGACAAGTCCATATAGGAGGCGATCGAGGTCCTCGAATGAGAAGGAGAATACCACTACACATGAGACATTGTTGTCTAGCCACAGAAAAAGAAAACGGAAAGGGTGAAGGTGCCAGTGAAATTGAATGAGGGTGGAGCCGAGGGGCAGTGCATGTGTCATAAGACACAGCTCATCGCTGGGGTTTGCAGTACCCTGCCAGGCCTTCTGTGCCTCTGAGGCAAGCCAGGAAGCAAGAACCCGGCTGTTGAATCCCTTGCAACTCATATATGCACCATGCTTCGCTTTGTAGAGCATGCCAGGTGTAAACTGCCGCTGCGAACATGTAACCTTGTTTGCAGACTTCCAGTCGCAAAAGTCGGCCCAGGCCTTTTGAAGCCGAAGTCTGATGTCGACATCCGGCAGCCCCCACCAAGCCATGTCCAGAAGGCATGCCATTGCGCCCCCATTGGCAGTCCAGAGCCTCTTCGGACCATTGCCCCAATTTTAGAGCAAACTCGACAAGCGGAAAACCTTATTAAGGACAAATGCTGCCAGGAGACAAGCCCAAGTAGAGGTTGTGGAGCAAGCACCAGGTGATTTTGGAAGGATGAAAATCCGTCAGCAGCACCAAAGGCGAAGCATCGTGCTTTGAAACCTCAGCCAAAAAAGCCCGAGTGTCCCTGAAGTCCAGGTCAGTAGCCAGAGGCAGGTCTGCCATGTTTTGCCGCACCATTCGGCAATGGTGGCAAATCAAAGGAGAATTCCAATGGGACCGCAGGGATAGAGCCTCACGAAAATACTTCCAATCCCCACCGATCTCGGTGACGATGAAGCAGCGACCGTCCTGGGTCAATGGTGTGGCTGCTGCCCTGTTTAAAGCAGCAACGATATGACCAATGACAGGTTTCAGGGTTGCCCAGCCGAGGTAACTGTCATCCAACGACAAGATGGAAAGCAAAAAGCGCGAATTCCTCGCACTGCGTGGCCGCCACAACGGACAGCTGAGCACGAATGCGAGGGCTTTGTCGCCCATCCTGCAGTTCCACAAACACCAAAAACAAAATCATAATTCGAATAAGCATCTTCTGGAAAAAGCTATGTTCGAGTAAAGCCGAGATGCTGGTTGAACGTAGCATCGTCGCCGAAGATTTTCAAGGGAATCGGCCATCCTCCTGGCTGGGTCGAATAGTCGACGTGTTGAGCCCAAGGGACCCCGGCTTGCTTGGCCTGCGTCCAATAATCCTCGATGCTCTTCGAAGAAACTTTGAGACCCACCTCGTTCCAAAGAAAACGGAGAACCTCGTCGGCATTGAAGATTGGAATATCCTTGTATTCTATTTTGGTTTCGCTGACTTTCACAGGCACCGAGCACGAAGTCATCTCCTTATATCGAGCTTGCAAGGGAACAGAACACGTGTATCGCATGTACTAAGAACCACCAGCATAAAGCAAAGCCCCAAGCAAGCTTAAAACCAAGAGCCCCGAGCTTGTACTGATAAGAAACCCCACACAAAAAGCACAACCTTGACGTAAAAGGCTACTGGCCCCTGACCTAAATCGCGACCCGTGGCTCGAAGGGAAGTTTCGCGAAACGTGTAAAGTTCCGGGCAGCATTTCCCCGCCCTTGGTAGCTCGCCAGCTTCTTCGTTTTCGCAGACGAATGGCCACGGCTATCCTGGGGCTTTATGAATTCGAATTTTAATAAACCTAAACCCCTCAACCCTAACCCCTAATAAACCTTAAGCAGTTTTGGGGTGTAGCCGTACGTGTAGCCTTTGGATGGTTTTCGGGTTGAAGCGGGGTTATGGGCTTAACCTTGAGGCTTATAGGCCTTAAGAACAGATTGCCCAAAACGTGGGGCCCACTCCATCAGCACACGGGTTGAGCCTTTATGGGGTTTTATGTTGCGGCTTTAAGATTTAGGGGGCTTCGTGGTTTCGGGAGTTAAGGGTTGCGGCTTCGGCTGCCATGCTCCTTGGCGGCTGCAGCTGCCGCCTTCATCTGTCTTTGGATGCTGGAGGCCTGGGGCAAAGCTAGTACAGTATAACGTGTACAGGGCCGGCGTGAATACTATCTCGGGTGAAACCGAACCAAGAGCCACACCCCATCACCAATCTCCTCGAGCATATGCAAGAAAAAAGGGGCTTGCGCTTCCAGATCTTCATCCTCCGTACCTGGCATGCGGCTGCCGAAACCAGGGATCCATGGTTGATTGTGGGATGTGCTTTGTACAGCAAGAATCCACTGCAAGGTCCTTTTCATCGTCGGTCCGGGCCATAGCTAGGGGCTGGGTCTAAGGATTCGGTGCATTCCCCCTGCACGAACCCAACCAACCCGTGCTTTGCACGAACAGTCAGCCCTCAGGAGGCCTCAGAATCGTCACATTTGCATCATCCAGATCGATCTAAAGCGATCTCACAAGCACCGACACAGTGGCATCTGCACTGTGTCCAGGCTCCACGTTAGATCTCGATCCATATTCTAGAATATACTTAAGCTCTCTAGCTCAGTACAGGACGAGTGCCCCTAGCTGACGATCAGCTGTTTGGCAGCAGTGCCTAGAGCTAGTGATCAGGATCCTACTTGGAGCCCGGCTTCCCCTGATTTCCCTCGTCAGTTCTCTTGGCCGACAGCAGGAAGCGGTCGATGGCGTCAATCAAGCCGAGCACCACAGCCTGTTGGTCGGGGATCTCCTTCACCTGCTTGCTTGGGATTTAGGCTGAGTTTCAGGGGGCTTCTATGGCGAATTTGTGTTAGGTTTCGTGTTTTCGGGGTTGGTTCGGCTTTGGCATTTGCATGCTCTTTGTGGTTTAGGCCTAGCCATGGGCTTTAAGGGTTTAGGCGCTCAGAATTTGGGGTTTACGCAATTCAGGATGAGCTACAGCAGATTTTGCTAAACCTTTCGGGCATTGTCGTGCTGCTGGTAGTAATTACAAGATCATTCTGATATGCCCCCTAAACCCTGTAAGCCCTAAGTATAAATAATAATTAATCCCGGATATAAACCTGACACCGTACC